GTACTCCCACGTACGACGCACACACACACACACACACACACACACACACACACACAAACGCAGAGATGGTGACCGAGGGACGCAATGTCATCTGCATGCCTGCAGGCACGTCGATTGCCTTCGTTGCTTACTTCTGTCGTGTTACGTTAGCTTAGTTTGTAGTCGCAGTAGTAATAATAATAATAACAGGGGTAACGAAAGCATAATGCTCCAGTCAACACACACGCAAACGCAAGACATCACACACGCAGGTGCACACACACACACACACACGACGGCCCATCCCCCACCGCCGTGCACCGCGGGCATAGGCCACACGAGAGGAGGAGGAGAAAGCATGGCACGTCAAGGTGACTTTTTCTTTCTTTTTCTTCTTGCTTCATCCCAAAACAACAGGTAAAACAGCGGTCTTGTGGTGGCGGCGATAACAAGGGACGAGCCTCTCTACCGCCCCTCTGTTTACTTCACACCACTTGGCATCCACTTTTTTTTTTTTTTCTGCTTTGCTTTGCTTGTCTCTCATTACAGTTATGCTTCACGTGTTCCCTTCCCCCCACATCTTTTTTTTTCATTTTTTTCAGTTATTTTTGTTTTGGGTGTGTGCGCACGTGTGTTCCACCTTCTGGCACGAAAGAAGAAGAAAAGAAAAACATTAAGTGTGTCGTTCAGCTAACAGGACCGGTCACGCGGAACTTGGGATGCCCTTTGCAGAGTGCCAGGCCCACAATCGTGCCCGCCACGGTGGGCTGCCAGTCAAAGTATAGAATGCATACAGCCCCCACCCAGCAGGCGTAGCGCACCCATCCGTTGAAGCTGTTGAGAATGCACACCGGCGAGAATCCCTGGTGCAGGTACTGCATCACAAACAACGCCGCCACAATGTCCCACGGCCCAAATTGCTTTTCTGTTGTGTTGCTCATCATGTAATTATACGCCCACATGAGAAAACCAGATGCCACAGCCGTTATGGCGCAGTACATCGTGAGGCCACGTGAGCCTAACGTTGGTAGCACGCTGTGGCACATGGTGTGTAAAAGCATCATGGCGAATGTCATGGAGAGAAAGTTGTTCATTAGGAGAGAGTGCAGCCCCCATGCAAGCGGCGCGAACCGGGCATCAACGCCCCAATTATCCAGCCACCACTTTTCCTCCACGTTACTGCCGGTGCTACAAAGACAGAAAACTGTGAAGAGGATGAAGTTCAGAGCATTGGCACTATTGTAAATGTCGGGAAACCGCACGTAGTCCTCCCTTAGCCCCTCCAAATGAGCCCGAAATCCAGTGGTCTTTTTCCCTGTCTTCTCGCCCCCTTCACCTTGAGCGCCTTTGGCCTTTGCGTGCTCCGCACCCTCCTGCTTGCTGCCATCAGCGCTGCTCTCTTCACCGGAGCGATCCCCGCGGGTACGCACCCACCGGCGCTGGGTCGCTAACGCGGAGAGAAGCGGCGCAGCCTGGTGAAGCATGCGGTTGGGGACGAGAAGGGCGTACCCCACCGGCCGCATCGAGCATCGGCCATGGCGGCGCACGAGGGCCTCGCGCTGGAGCGCCACAAAGGAGGCCCCCAAGGTGCAACGCAGGCGTAGCATGCGAAGGGCTTCTTCGTCCCTCTTCCTTTTCTCGCCCTGCGGTGCTCTGTTCCTCTTGCTCTTCGCAGTTACCTATATATATATATATATATATTGCTTCCCCCCGCCACTTGCTTTGGCTAACGCTCCGTGCACGTGAGACAAGGTGTGAGCGACCCCGTACGTGTGTGTCGCCGCAGTGCCCCGCCGCGGAAGTGTGTCTATGTGGGGTTGGTTAGTTGGCTGCACGCAGGCCAACGTGAGGGCGGAGAAGAGCAGAGAAGCGGCGCAGAGGCAGGCGAACAAAAAAAAAGCACGGCGGATGTCCATGACGTCCCCCCCCCCCCCTCACACACACACACACACACACACACAAGTACACACAGGCAGACTACAATGCGGGCGTGACAACGCAAAAAGAGCAAATAACGATACACAGAGAGGGGTAGGGAGAGAGAGAAAAAACCAAACAAAACAAAACACCACCACCATCAACAGCAACCTCCACAGTTCTCCTCACACGTGAGGGCGCCGCTCAAGCTGCCTCCGTCGCTACAGACAACGTCCTCCTCACTTCCTACAAGGCGGGCGGGAGGATACAGCGACGAAGGGGCACCACAACACCCTCTCTCTCCCCTCCCCGCAATCACTCGAACACCCCGGCGACAGGATCTTACGACGCGGTACCGGGGAGGGTATCAATCCAATGTGGCTTTGGTCAGTCCGCTGTGGTTAAGCCCGTAGAGCGTGCCTGGGCTACGGGGTGACTCCTGCGGCAACGTCGCCCGCTTGCCCCAGTTTGCGTGACGAGGTCGTCAGCAATTCCTGCTTCGGCGTGATCGGCTGCGTCACCGAAATGTGGGGAAACTTACTGCTGCGGAAGGAATGCGACACACTCGCCTCCTGGTTACGTAATGCTGCCTCGCTGTCGCTGCAGCATTTCTCGCAGCGACGCAGCCTGGACTTAACCTCTAGTAGGTCCTCCTGAAGCATTCGCTGCTGCTTGGCAAGTAACTGCTGCGATAGTGCGGGAGATCCAGCGCTTTGGATATTCTCTAGCTTGGCATACAGACTTCTAACATCTTCCTGCAGGACATTCATGCGATGATCGAGACTTGCAATCATTCTGGAGGGCACCGACAAGTTAAGCATCATCCCATGCAGTGCCCACTGTTCCTCCTCCAAAGCCCGCAGAGCGATATTGACACGATGAATCTCCTGCTGCATGGACGCCAAGGACTCCTGCTCTGTGATATGCATAAAGCGCTGCACTTCCTCCTCAACCTGCTGCTGCAGTCGCAGTGTGGCGTCACTTGTAAATGCCTTGAGCCGATGGGCCTCGTCAGTGAGTCGAGTTTCTAGCGACTCTTGCAGCCGCCTGCTCTGCTCTTGCATCAGCACGGCGTTATCGTTCAAACCATTCTGCATGCGTTGGAGATCCTCTTGGGTGCTCTGCAGCAACCGCTGCGTTGCATTGGTGGCAGCGTCTTGCGCCTGTTGCGCGGCTTCAATTTGCCGCGCTATCTCACTCCCCATCTGTGACACCCCATCTCGCTCCACGCGGCGTTCCATCTCGGAAATCTGCTCAAGTGCCGACTTCATCTCCCCACGTTGCCTCTCAACAGCAATGCGCAGCTCGTTCCGCAACAGATCTAGCGCCACGGTCACCTCACTCAGTCGCTGCTGGTCGGCACGCACTATCACGTCCTCCTCAAGCTCATGCATGCGTCTCACCTCCAACACCATCTTCTCCTGCAGCAACTCAAGCTTGGCGGCCAGCTGCTTTTCCTGCCGCGCCATCGCTGTGGCCTGCTGTGTCTCAAGGCGCTCCATGTAGAACCCAATCGACATCTTCTGCTGCTCGGAGAGCCCCACAATTTCGGTTTGGTGTCGCTGCACGGTGCTCATGCAGCTGTGCAGACGGGCGACCAGGCGTTGCTGCTGATCCATCACCTTCTCCATCTCCACAATGCAGCTGTGAAGGTCCTGACGAAGCTCGTTGATATCCACACGAAGACTGCGGGTATCCAGCGACCCAGTTGCAGCCGTCGACTCTTGTGTGGCTGTGTTCACAGTGTCATTATTCGGCCCTTCTTGTTGCTCTTCGCGGAGAACACGCCGCACATGCGTTTCGGCGATACTCTTCATGTGCTTCTCCATCTTCTCGTTAAACTCTTTGTCGGCGTGGCCCTCCATCACCTTCTGCCTGCTCTCAAGCCGAGTCACACGCTCCTGCAGCAGCTGCAGAAGAGAATCACAGCTGCTGATTGAGCGGTACAACACCTCAGATGACTCTTCAGGGGGCCGCAGTTCCCCCTCCGTCCCTGCCGCACAGTGCCCCTGCGCTGCGGCTTCTACAGTTCGCAGTTTCATTTCCACCTCATATGCTTGCTGCGAGGTGTGCTGCCCCGGTCCCTGGACGAGGTTCTTCAGTCCCGAGCGCAGCGCCGCCACCTCCTGCTCGAGGACGCTCTGCCGCACTTGATGCAAATGCAGTTTCTCCCTCTGCGCCTCGGCCGCGGCCAACGCCTCTGCCGTCATGCACATCGCCTCTTCTAGATGAGGCGGCGTCGGCCCATTGCAAAACGTGCTGCTGCTGCCACCGCCCTCTTCGCCATGTTTCACCGTATCCCTTGCGTCCTCGATGGCGTCAGTCTGCGGCCTCTCTGGTGCGTTCACCAACACGTCTTCCTCTTGACTCGCTGTGCTCATGTATGTATATATCCTGTGCGTCTGGTGTGGACTGTGTGGGAAGGCGCGGAACGCCAATGACTTTTCTCCTCCCCACTACCTGTGTGGGTGTGCTACGGTGGGAGGAAGGTGGACCCCCCATCGCGCCGAAACAAGACAGAAGAGGCGGAAAGAAAGTTATGTAGCTAGCTACACCAATACCAATACACAGAAACTTGATGATGATACTGAACCCCACGGAAAGAAAGGTACGCGCGGCAAGAGATCGTGTAGGATGCTCCTGACAAAGACAGGCAATGGGAAAACAGCAGATTGCAAGAGCAGCAAACGGAACGGAGATCTAGCTCAAACACCGGGGTGATAGCAACCCGGAGAAGCAGCACAGACACACTCATGTACGTACACATAGATAGGTAGATAAATAGATGGAGGCATGATGTGGTCAAAAGCAGATTTGCAAGGCCTTGGCGGCCTCATCGCGGACGTCAGCGGATTTGTCTTCCACCAGAAGCCGCAGGAGCTGCAGCACCACCCCATTCTTTTCCTGCTCCGTAAAGACGACCTTGGAGGCACGTGAGGCGGGGCTGGCAGAGGCAGCCAGAATGCCGTACAACTCCTTTGCGACGACAAGCCGCACGTTTAGCACCGCATCGTGGCCCAGCTGATCGAGGAGTGGAAGGAGAATAGACTTCTTGTCGACGCCGAGACGCACCGCGATGCGAAGCAGTGAGCTGCGGCTAAGATACGTCGCCATTGCCCTGGGCGAATTCACAATAAGTGGCCACAAGGTGTCATTGACAAAGACGTCGTCATCGTCGCCTTGCTGCTGATGCTGTGAGTAGTGGAGGGAGTTTTGCCATCCACCGCCGCTGCTGCTCGACGCGGACGCCTGCAGCTGCGAGCGCGCAGCGGAGAGTTGGGCGCACATCTTCTCCAGCGACTCCAGCGCGTGATCCCGCACCGCCTTCACCTTGTCAAAAAGGACATCCACCAGCAGCGGCAGCAGCTCCTCCTTCGCAAAGCCGTGAAGCGGGCTGACGCCGTCTTCGGCGACCACTACACCGCTTGGACGGCCAGCCGCGACGCTGTTCTCACGCAGGCCGTCCTCAAGGCTGTGCACCCTGCCCAGCGACAGCGAGGCGGCCTCCACCGCGGCCAGGGAGTTGGGCGCCAAAAACTTCACACACATCTCCGATAGAAGCATGGCGTAGCGCTCACGGTAGCGCCAGACCTCATGACGTGAAAGGCTCTTTAGGCAGACAACAAGAGCCTCCTTCCGCACTTGCGCCGCTTCATCGCTTCTGTGGCCACCGATGGCCGCCGCAAGCCCCCCTGTTTCTCCGGTGCTGCTCACAAGCAGGGCCGCCAACTCCGATACGAGCGCAATCTGCACCGTGGGGCTTCGATCGGTGAGTAGCGTCATGAGGGACACGGTGGTGCTGTCCAAATAGTGTAGCCAGGTGCCCTTGCCAAGGTCCTCCACATGCAGGTCACAGGCTGCCACCATGGCGCTCAAGGTCCGCGCGAGCACTGAGAGCCCGGCGGCGGCGCCCGAACGCACACGCTCCTCCGGGTCACGCATGACATGCGCGCAACACGAGAGCACGGTGTCGAGCAATGTTGGAAGTGACCGCATCAAACTATGAACGGAAAGCAGAGCCCCATGCTTAGGGGTCTCCTTCCTTGCACTTTTCCTTCCCATGATCTCCAATTTGGTGGAATCCACATGATACCCCCTCGCCGCACTGCCCTCACGTGCCTGCGACGAGTTCGCGCGACGCTGCTGCCGCATATCAATAACAACACCACGGGGAAACAAAAGGCAAAACATACCCTGCCCCAGCGCCCGAAACACACCCGCCGCCGACACAGACACAACGCAGCGCACTTCCTCCTCCTCATCGTGCACGAGTGCCTTCAGAGCTCCGTCGCCCTTGGGGGCGGAAGACCACTGCCCCAGATGGAACTCAAATAAAAACTCGGTGCAGATCTCCACAAGCGTAGGGCCGTCTTTAGGCTCATGTTCACCAACCCGACGTACCACTTCTAGAAGTGCTGCTGTGAGCTGCGGCAGGCGGTGCGTCGTCAACCACCGTGTTTTCCACGCGGGCAACGTCGCCAACCCGACGATGCAGTCGCGGTAAAGGCCGCATAAACGCAACATACGTTCCTCCTTTTCCGCCAGCGTCACAGGTAAGGTGCATCCCCTGTTCCCCAGCAAGAAGTCCTGTATCGTGTGCGGCCGCAGCAGCTCGTCCAGCAAGAGCTGTACACCATCCAGGACCGCCTCGGCGACGCCGCAATCGTGGCACGCGTCACTCTCTAGCGGCGGCAGTGCACCATTCATGGTACCAGCACCCTTCTTCTTGGTCTTCTCGTTCCCCTCTATAAGTTCCCCCCTCGTCTTCAAGGCGCGGTCGCCGTGGTACTCCCTGTCACCACCCCCGTTTCCACTGTGTTCTGCGGCGAAGCACGGAGGGGTCGGGACGACGGCGATGGCCTGAGCAAAGACATCGCAGACAGCAAAGAAACTCAATCCTTCCATCCAGTCCGAAGGTCCTTCGCCTTTGCCTTGTCTCGCACCGCGTGTCCAGTCGATTAAATGCGGCAACGAACGCAAGAGACTCATTCGCACGATGCGATGCATGACCGGGGCACTGCCACCTAGGTATAAATCCCACACCTCTCTATCCTCCGCACCAAGTCCCCCACATCCCAATGCGATGGAGCTATAATTCGCTGCGGCGGTGGAAGCGGCCGCCGGGTTTCTTGTGATAATCAGGCGGTGCTCAGAGAGAAGCATCATCAAATCTTCACAAGGCCTCTCCGCCCCACAGCGAGTGGCACGAGCAACGTGTGTTCGCGTCGTTTTAAACACAGACGTCACGAGCTCTTCGGTAGTCCGTAGGAGCCTTGAGGGAGGCGGTGCAGGGTCGCCCTGACATCGCTCCATGCATTCAAACCACGCAATACAGGAGTATATGTTGCTGATGCAATCCACCGCGGTGCTTACTGTGGTGGCATACTCGGACCTTAGCATAGATTCCATGAGACCCACAAAAAGAATCCATCGAGCCTGAAATGCCTCACGCCGAGCTGGGGTTTTAGTATAATCATGCGCCTCTATTACACTGCCGCTGGAGGTCATCATGGGCCCCTCCGCCCCTGCATTGTCTGTGCCCACATCACGGAGGAACGTGGCGGCCAAACTGCGCATACGGTTTGCGTAGAGGTTGATTTGAAACGGGTCCCACACTTCCGTGGCGCCACTGCTAACATGCTGCCCCGCGTAATAACTGACGAGGCCTCCGCCCCAGCTACTCCCGCTGAAGCACCGCAGCTCTGCCCTGTTGCCTCCCCCCTGATATCTTCCACTGTTGCCCCCACGCCTATTCTGGCCTGTGGGACTGCCACCACGGCCACCGCCGTGTGCGTCGAAGATAAGTTTGGGCTCATCGCCCACCTCCACCCCGTCACCGCTGTCGAGGGACACTTTGAGGTACTTCCGCTTCCAGTCGCAGAGGTCAATGTGACGCTCAAGGGGGACGCCAAAAAACACCATTGGAATAACCACCTCCACAAGGAAGCGGCGGACACCGGCGTCGTTGGAGGCCCCCATGCGAACCATCACGGGTAGCAGGCTCTCGGTTGAGAGTGGCCGACCACGGTCGACGACTAACTCGGCTGTGCGTGTGGCGGGCACCACCGCTGCCGATGACCCCACCTGCTGGGGCTGAAAACTAAACGAAGATGTTGCAAACTCTATGAGCGCCATGCCAGCAACAAAACTGAGCTCCGCATCCTCCTCCTCCATGCAGCGCAGCAAATAGGAGACAACCTCCAGCTTGGCCCACTGTGCCCCTAACGCCTGGGCAAGCGCTGGTAGGCGGAGCACAGCCTCGTAGCGTGCCCGTTGCCGTTCGCGTGGTTCCTCGTCAAGGTCCTCTGTGCCGCCCGCGGTAAGTGGCGCCTCCTCTGGCCATGGTGCGTCGGGGTCGGGGTGGACCACGTCTACCCCAAACGTTGCGGGATCCGCCGGAGGAAGCGGCCAGTGGATGAGGTCCTCCACAACCGAAAGCACCACCGTATTGTTATCCATCACACTCCCCCCACCTTTTTTTTTCCCCCTTTTTTGATGTGTGTTTCTTTTTTTTTTCTTCTTCTTCTTCGCTCACAGCAAAATATGTCCTGCAAGGTCTACTTGCGCACTCGTCCGGTTCCTCTATTCTCCCGTTGGTTTGATTTTCACCACTAAAATTGCCACCGCTCCCCCTCTTAACAAAAACAACGGACAGAGGGCGTTTAGCAATCCGTACTCTCACACCCATACACCCACCCACAACGCGACCAGCAAAACAAAAACAAAAACAAAACATTAGACCACACTTAATCGGACACACGCTTATCATAATATAATGGAGATTTACGTTTCTTGCTTTCCTTCCACATCTCCGTCCTCCCACTGCCCCCTTCATCCATCTAACCACAACGGCAGGATAGAAATCCAGCGCACGCCAGGCACGAGCATGGCTCCCTCGTGGAGACGCGCAGTGGGGCCACACAAAAACGGAGCGAGATAACAAGAGAAATAGAGAGAGAGAGAGAGAGACAACGTTACTGCCCGTCAAGTTTGGCGTACTGCAGCACCAGATGCCTACCGTAAAGGTGCGTGGCTTTGAGTGTCTCCATGGCACGCTTCGCCTCCTCCTCCGAGAGAAACTCCACAAACGCAAAACCACGGTGATTATTCTCACGATGGGAGGAAAACTGGTGACTTTTACGCGGCAGCCGCACGCTGCGAATCTCGCTGAAGGCAGAAAAAAGGTCCCGGATGTCTTTCTCTGTGGCCTCGAAAGGCACATTCTTGACCACCAACTTGAGCGCGTCACACCCGGGCGGCACATGACTGGCGCCACGCGCTGCCGCCGCCCTACGCGCCACTACGGCAGATGCCTTTGCGAAGTCCTCCACCTCCTCCACTGGACCGGCGGTGGCCGCTACACCCAACGTTGCCGAGGAGGACGCCGTTTTCATCGTGAGCATCGCAGTGGTCTGCTTGCTTGGCACGCACGCGAGTGTTCGCCGGGCAAAACTCTTCCCATTCAGCCGCTGCTGCACGTACTTAAACGTGCTCTGATCCTTCAGCGTGAGGAAGGCGCGTCCCTTATCTTGCTCAAAGGCCAACCGCTCAATGTATTTTTCAGGCAGCTTCGCAAGCCGTGGGCAAGTGTCCAGCAAAAACACGTAAAACTCCTCCTCCTTTGACGTAAAGGGAATATTTGTGATGAAGAGCGTAAAGACGGGGGCAAAGGCGGCATTTTTGCCTGGTAGCTCCATCTCCTCCCCCTCGACCTCTGCCACCTCCTTGCCGCGCGCTGCAGTTTCGTTGGTGCCGGTGGAGTTCACCTTCTCCTCCTCGTCGTCGGCGCCAATCACGATGGCGCCAATTGGCGCCCACTCCAGAAAGAGCGGGGCGTTTTTAAACAATTTGTATGACAGTCGCTGAAAAGCCACACGGGCATCTTGCTGGTGTGTGTAGCGGAAGAGTGCAAACCCGCCTGCGGACGGGAACGCCGTAGCCTCCAGTGACCCGTAGCGCAGAAACATTTTACTTAGCTCGGCGGCGTCATCCGCGTCGGTTGTCTGAATATTCTTCACAAGGATGGTTGTGTAGCTGCGCGTCTTCAGCAGATTCTGCTGAGCGCTCTCCAAGAGGCCAAAATCGATCCCTTCATCACTCAACACCCGCTGGATTTCCGTTGTCAGGTAGGCCTCTGCGATGGCGGCACGTACAGCGGCTCCCCGGGCCTGAACGGAGACGACGTCCCCCGCGGCTACGCCAAGCCGCTTTGCCACCGACTCCACCGCAGTGTGGCTATTCATGTACATTGTGTTCCACACCATCGCCGAACCGGTCTCACTGCGACGCTCCTGCTCCTTCTGACGCTTAAATTCACTGTTGCCCGCCATTGCCCCCGCATCTGCGCGGCCCTCCAGCCTTTTCGTGTACGGATCATCTGCAGCGGCGCTAACGCGCAGCAGTCTGCCCATAAATACGGCACCGTGACACAACGAAAGCGCCCGCACAGCGTCTTCCACCCGCACAAACTTCACAAATACCGCGCCTTTGCTCTGCCGCGTGTCTTTGGTCAGAGGAATGTGGACCGCCTCCACAGTACCCACAAGCGAGGAGGCAAACTGCTTCACGTCATCTTCAGTAGCGATGTACGGAATATTCCCAAGGCGTATGCGACGACTCTCGTGCACTATGGCCTCCTCCTCATCCTTTTTTTGGGAGTCATCTGCACGAGAGAGCTGCCGCTGTTGCTCTCCGCTCGTCTCCCCCTTCTTCTCATTTTCCTCAGTGCTCTCTTCATGCACGTTTCCACCCGCTTCATCCACTGCCCCTTCTTGCCTACACGAGGTCCTGTTGCCACAGGTGGCCCCCGCTTTATTCGCAAGTGAAGCTAAAAAATCCAAGTCGCTTACTTCGCCCAGCGCCTGTTGCCGCTCCAGTGCCTGTCGCTCCGCCTCCTCTGCGTCCTCGACCTCGTCTTCCCCGGCATTGTAGTCGGTGCCGCTAACCTCCACGGTGTGTGTGTTGTCGTCGTTGTCGTTGTCGTTGTCGTTGGCGGCGGCGGACTCCGGCACCAACACCTGTGAGGTCCACGTCGGGCAGGATGTGACCTTCATGCGCTCGGCGATAAACTCCTCCTTGCGTTCTTTTTTCCTGCGCTGCTGATCCTCCTCCGTCGCCGTGACGCCCGCATCCTCATGCTCCGCCGCTGTGGGCTGCTGCGCCTCGTCGCGAGGGCGCTTCAACGCCTTCCCACCCCCCTTCGCATTTTTGTCGTCGTCGCTTGTGCCCGCTGCCTCCATTTTCTTCCGCTTGTTCGTCGTCAGTCCAACGTCACCGAGTCCCTTCGCCACCTCCACCCGCAGCTTCGCGCTTCCAAAGTACGTGCTGTCAAAGTGTCTCACAATGAAGTGCCCGCTGGAAGCGCTGCGAAACCCCACAAAGGCCATACGAATCACACTCCTGCCCTTGCCGCTGGCATGCGACCGCTTGATCACGCAGTCGGTAATTTCTAAGTGCGGCGCGGAGGGCGGAAGGGAGGCGAGCAGGTGACGCCGCAACTGGTCCTCCGTGCAGTCGCGTGGAAGATTTAGCACCCGCACTCGCGACATGGCCGGGGAAGCAGGTATCTCACACCTTTCCCTCTTTGCCTTTGCTGCTTCTGCTTGGCTCCACTGCAAGGGGAGGGCACACAAATACAACGGAACGGGGGAAAACAACAACAACAAAAAAAAAAGAACAGAGGGTCATGCAAACAAAGACGCGCACGGAGGCAACGTCAAAAAAAAAAAACGCAACCGGAGCGGGTGCATCTCCATTGCTCCCGGCAAAGCAACCACAAAAATGCATCTCCATCCACCCCCCGCCACACTGCTCCTTTTTTATTTTTATTTTATCCGTTGTTACACAACGAGAGGCACGACTGCACCTGCGCCTTATGCCGGTATCGTTCGTGGGTACGGCACGAGTTCCGCCCCCGCCACAACAACTCTGCAGAGAAAAAAATAATAATAAACAAGCTCTTTGACATTGACGTACTCTGGTTCTGGACTACCCTGCACCAAGTGAGGCAAAAACTCTCAGCCCAATGTCCAGGGCGCGTTAGTAGCGTTTGAGGCACACATCCACCTGGCTCCAGTAGTCGTCGGAAAACGGCACCGTCCCCGGCACCTCCGGGTTGACGGCAAGAAACGACATACAACACGTCAGCCGCACTGTGCCAAAGAAGAAGCCAAGAAGCGCCAAGAGGAGGGTCAACTTCAGGACGACTCTCACCAGTGCATTAATCACCATCCTGCCACGCCGCACACACACTGTGGGGGAAAATGACCAAGAACACTCTCCACCGAGGCCAAGTAGCGCTAAGAAAAAAAAAAGACCAATAACAGGCACTTTCACACACCGCGTGGAGAGCCCCCACCCTTTCCTCAAACCCCCCCTTTTTCCTCTTTTTCCCTCGTTACCACCTTCCGGCGGAGGGTATGTGTGTGCGTGTATGCAGAGGCTCGAGTGTAGAGAAATCAATACAGACAAAAAGAAAAAAAAGAGAAATAAAGGCCGGACGTGCGATGGCCACTGAAAGGCAGACGCAGACAGAACAGAAACACGGTTGCTCAACATCTACCGCCTCGTGTATTCACGTATTTTTACTCGGAGTACGTGCTTTTGTGTGTGCATGTTTGCCCGCGCCGTCCTCACCGCCGAATGACGTTATCCGAAATCAAACCTTCCGTCGTCGCTTGTGCGAAGGTGCGGCACTGTTTTCGCGGCTGTAAAACTCCTGCAACAACGCCACCGCCTCGTCGGCTCGGTGACCACCGCAGCTCTCGTAGGCAGGGGCACTGGTGGACGCCGCTGCATGCACTGCAAGTATGGTGCCGTTGCCGCCAAAGCGATGGTTGGCGCACCCAAAGTAAACCTTCCGGATGCGGTTGTACAGGAGCATGGCGGCACACATGATACACGGCTCCACCACAACGTACAGGACATACCCAGCAAGACTTGTGGGCGGTTTCTGCCCCTTTGCAGCCGCGTCGCGCAAGAGCGCCTTCACCGCCACAAATTCCGCGTGGGCAAGGGCGTGGTGGGCCTTGTTTGTGGCATTGCGCCCACGCGCCGCGATGAGGTGCCCCAGGGAAGCCTCGCTCTGGCCGTCACTGCTGTCCAGGCGCTCTGCGTTGGCCGCGCAAGACGCTTCGGCAGGAACGAGAACACAACCTACCGGGACTTCGCCCTCCGCAAGCGCCCTCCGCGCTTCCGCAAAGGCGGCACGCATAAACGCATCACAGTACACTACCGCACTCTTCTCTGCGTCACCCATGGCAGTCGAGGGCAGCGGTACCGCCACAACAACAACGACGGCTGAACCGTGCAATGCCCCCTGTAAAAAAAAAAAAAAAAAAAAAAAAGATGGGGCGAAACGTGTGTAGGCGTTGGCTGCGTAGCAGGTGTTCGGGTGCAATGTCATGCGTGTGTGCGTGAAGGGGTTGCAGTTAGAGGATAAGAAGGAGAAGGAAAAAGCAGCAGCAAGAGCCAAACAATACGCAGTAATTCGCAAGCCGCAGACACACTTTTCCCACACAGGCACAAACAAACACACATATAAAATAATAATAGTCACAAATTATCTCCCCCGCATGTACACAGACTTTAAACTGAACCCACTCAGTCGTTATCTCTCTTTTAGAGACCGCATAGGCACAGGTATGTTTTTATGTCCGCGCCCAATAAGCGGAGTGGCAGGGAGGAATCCACAAGCGCTCGCCTTCTTCAAGTGGCGTATTCGCATGTGTCTGCCAAAGACCAGCGTTCATATGGTGGAGGCCCCTCCCTGTCCACCTCATGGAGCGACACCCCTCGCTCAGCCACCGTTGCCACCGAGCTACTGGTAAGGTCGCACACAAGCAACGGCACCGGAGGAATGCGTCAACGCTCTCCCTCCTCCCCGCTGTCTGTTTGTCAGGAGCCACCTTCGCCCGTCTTCTTCGACGTGTCATTAAAACGGGTGGGCGTGTTGCGTATGTGGAGGGCAAAGGGAAAAGGGGAAGCAAGAACTGCACGCACGTGTCTACGCTGCGGAGTAGAGAGGGGTGGGTGACTGGATGGGGTGGAGGCTGTCTCAGAGAACACGCAGTCCCACACGACAAATCCCAAGCACCCACGCGCGACGGCCCACAACTCGGCGAGCGCTCACTCTCTCTCTTTCACACACACACATGCAGCAGGACGACATCGGAAGGAATAAATGGTGAAGAAGCAAACACACCGTAACAGTAAAAATTTGCTTCCCTTCATGCTGCCCGCCACGCAGCCACAGATAAAATGAATTCCCCTCCACAGTTCCTCCTCCGCTTCTCAGCGGGTGTGTAAACACGCCAAAATTATGGAAGTGGACATGACAACAAACTGAAAACAACAGTATTGGAATCTGTGATGGTAAACAAAAATGTGCCCCTCCCAAACCCACACAGAGTAGACACGCACACACACACAGACACACATTTATATACACCACACACAGTATGAACAGCAGAAGACCCGGAAGGTATGGATTTTATATAAATTGCTGCACAGACACACAAATACACACAAGAGGGGTAATAATAATTAAAAAAAAAAAAAAAGGAAAAGAAGCGAATTCACCAAAACCGGGGCAATGCAGCCTTTCTATCAGTTCCACTCCCCCCTCCCCCTCCCCACCCCCCAAGAAGCACCCCCCAATCGTGCCGCACTTTTCTCCCTCTGCGTCCTACTTTTCCCACGTTATTTTAAAAAAAAACGTTTTCGTTTTTGTTTTGTCTTCATTGGGTTGATTTGTCTCTTGTGGCGGTCCACGCAGGTGTGTGCGTGTGGGGGGAGAGGGGTAGAGAGGAAAAAAAAAGGACCCAATTTCTTCATGTGGAAACGGCGTCCAAGAACAGCGGCAGTACGGAGAATCATAAAGAGGAGTGCTCTGTGGGATACGCACACTTCGGTCACCTCTCCCTCCGCTTCACCCCTTCTTTCCCACCCTGCCTTCTGCTCGTCATCACTTCCCACAGAACCCCACCTTCCCCACTCCCTCCCTTTTCCCGCTGCATGCCTGTGTGTGTGTGTGTGTGTGTGTGCAGACGCGTGCCTCGATGCGAAGGCCAAAAGGAAATGTAGATAAATACACATATACATTTATATATATATATATGACTCCCAGAGAACCAAATCAAATGCCGCCTTGCCACTCACTCTCTTGCCGAGACACGGACCATCCATCCCAGTTAGATACATAGATATCGTCTGCGTGCATGTACCACCAAATAAGCAACTGGGAATGCGTAGGCGGGTGAGCATGTACAGACGCGGAGCCAATGAAAAAGAAACGGAATGGGATTGAACATCTTCTTAATGAATACATATTTTATCTCACTACCCACCCACTCCTTGCTTCATTTTTGTTTTTTGTCTTGCTTTTCCTTCATAGCTGCTCATCTTCGTCTAGTTTCAGCATCACTATTTCTGCTCGCCGTAACATGTCCGTTGCACTTCGAAAAACCACCTCCTTCCTCCTCCCTCCTTCTGCTTCTTCCGCCCCGTCAAAGGACCTCAGCCTCTCCACCGCCACCACCACCTTCTCCCTCTTCCTTCTTTTCGTTGAACATTTAATTCTATTTTACCTTCTGTCCTGCTTCTAACACTCTTCGCTTTTTTGTTTTGTCACACACACACACAAAGACCCTCTGTCTTATTTTGATTCTGCATCTCTTTTTCTTCTCTCTCTTTCTCTCTCTCTTTTTTTTTTGTTTTGCGCTCGCTCTCCTCTGTCCGGTGCTGTTACTCGCCGGTGAACAGGTTGTACGTCTGTCGGTTGGCGTACCCCGCACCGGGGCGAAACGCACGGCCAGCTACGGGCACCGCCCCTGTCACCGACTGCCGCTGCTGGTCTTGCGGCGGCTGCGCGGGTGCCTGGGTGGGCGCCTGGGTGGCGCTTGTTCGGTCATCTTCCGTTTCCATTGCAATCACAACCTCTGCGTCTGTCCCCGTGGCGTTGCCGAGGTCGATGTCGCTCTTGTTGCTGCTGCTGGCGTCCTCTGCTACGACCTGCGTGCGGGGCTTGTCGTTGTGGTCAAACACCTTCCCACCGGCATAGACGCCCTGCGTGCAGGTGGTGTCCCACTTCAGCCCCTCCTGCCCCATGAGCTCTTTCATGGTGTTCCCGCCAACGTGCTCACGGTAGAGGCGGCTCTGCCGTACGCAGGGGCGGTCGCCCAGCAGGTTGCCCTGGTTCTGCGTGAGCCCAGGGTCGCCGAGGTGTTGGTGTCCACGCATACTTGTCGCGATGTACGTGCGGAGTACAAGCAAATCCCGTTTCTTCCCTTTTGCGGTGATCTCGTCTTGCTCCTCTTCCCTAAACTGCCGTGGGAAGTTTTCTTTTCTCTTTCGTTTGCTCGCGCTCTTTCTTCTTCGCCCTCTGCGTGCGTAGGTGTGCGGGTATGTATGGCAGCCACCTTCTTTTCCGGTGTGGGGTATGAGGGAGAAGAAAAAACGAGGTCAAAGCGGAGGGCTGACGGGGCCAAAGCGCAAAGGGACCCTTCGCGTCTCCCTTCTACACCCGTACACACAGACGCAGTGGAGGTGGGTACTTCACACGCACTCTCTCTTTTTGGCTTTGGTCTCTCCCTCTCTCTCTCCCAGTTTATGTGGAGAGCATTCGTATGCATGCGTGGGCACCCGTGCGAGGGCTTGCGACAAAAAGAAAAAAAGTCACCCCGCCTCCTGAGAACCCCCCACCCCCCCAAAAACAAACAAACAAACAAGACGCTAAGACATCGGTGGATGGAAGTCATGACCCACAACCCCCGGGAAATGGCAACGGGGCAACTGCAAACACCCGAACCACGTGCTGCGTGCACGTCGCACGCTACAAAAGGGAAAAAAGAGGAGGGCTGGGCATTGCAGAAGACGCGGTGCCGCCGTCGCCCTCCTCCCCGCGGAGACGATCGAGCAGTTGCAGCAGGGAGGGCAGGTTGCTGTTCCTAAAAACGGAAAAGTGAAGGCACCGGTGACCGGCGCTGAAGACTGTGCGACACAACGCCATGGTCTCCTCCTCCAGCGTTGCGTGAAACGTCCGCTCCAGCACCGCCTTTGCGTCCATCAACGTCTCAACCCGCCTTTCATCGGAGGTTCCCAACTGCGGGGCTGCTGCCGCTGCCGCCCTCAGACCGTCACGGTAGGCGCGTAGCCCCTGCTGCACCACGGCGCTGGGTATCGTTTTGGTAATCAGCAGCAGACGTGTGTACTCCTGCGCCGTGAGTGGCGCCAGGATGCCGGGAAAGAACGTCACCGCCTCCACCAAGGCACCCGCACCGGCGCGGCGGAGCTCACGGTGGGTGTCGTCCACGTACGCAATAAACTCCGCGGCATCTGTCAGAGTTTGCGTGATAACCCCGCGAACCCCGTGCTGTAAAATTTTTTTACGCACCAGTGTCTCCACCCCCCGCTGCGCCGCGTCGCGCGGCAAGGACGAGGACACCTCACGCAGGGAAAGTGCCAGCTCCACCTGGTAAAGCAGCTTGCGCACCTCCACACACGCGGCGTTCCAGCCACGGGGCGGTTGCGCCACCGCGACATCCGCGCTCAGATCGTTCATGCCGCCGGCAAGTTTGTCAAGAAACGCCAGAGAGGCGTGAGAGTCACGGCCCCAGACGCGATCCATTGGATGGCCTTGGGGGTATCCGCTGGAGAACAGCGAGACCGGCGCCTCTGTTAGCACCCTCGCCTCGCTGGTCGCAAACTGTAGCAGCTGGACACTGTCTTGGAAACCGCCTTGTCGCTCCCGCACCGCGGCAGACTCTCGTTCCCCGTTCCGTCGCACTGCATCATCTCCGCGAAGCAGCAGCAGCGCCTCACCCCCTCGCACCACCAAAAAGTCCTGAAGAATACGCCTCACCCCCTCGCATGTGGCTGCCGCGCCGTTGTCCTCATCGGCACTCATCGTCGTTGTCACGGTGAGAATGACGCGCCCACCCGCTTGCTGCACATGATCCACGGCACTCTGCAATCCACTACGTCCCGAGGCGGCAAAGTACGGCGCCTTCATGGGCAATGTGTAGTACGCGGGCCGGTGTGGAGAGACCAACGCGACAGCGTCCGCAAAGGATGAAGTAAGCGACGGCCGCCGCGGCGGAATCAGCTCCACACCGAACGTAAACCCCCGATGCCGCAAGGGCAGGAGGCCGGAATGGTAACCACGCTTCCAGCTCCTCATTTTTCCGCCGTATAGCTTCTCTCGTCTCCCAGTCGTCAGCGCACCCGAATTGTTCCCCCACCACACGCCGAGAAAGGGCGACTCAGGCACCTACCAAATGAAGAGGGAGAAAAGGACAAAACAACAACAACAAAATAAAACATCCAAAGTCACTTTGTTTTGTTCATTTTGCTTAATTAATAACTTCACCTCGGTTGTATAGGCGTCGAAAAGGGGCGGAGTCGTTTTCCACTTCATCATCACCACAGTCCAGTGGTTTGGGAGGAGAGGAGGAAGGAGTGAAGAGGCGTTTATCGCCGCGGGCCACAGGGGCATGCGGGTGCGGGTGTTACGTGGGCGCAGCGCAGACGACTTCACAGGCCTCACAGTGGCAGAGGCAAGGCGCCACGCATGCATAACTACACCAAATACCCACCGCCGTCCCCTCACCGCCACAAGCTTTGCACACTGACACGCACATCTTGGCGGCGACAGCGGCACAAACACCACCAGGCATACTCGAAGAGACCGCGCCACGGAGGTGCGAAAACAAACAAACAAACAAACAAAACGATCATAAAAAAAGAAAAGAAAACTAATAATAATAATAATAAAACAAAAAAAAAACAAGCCAATAAATGTGGGGTGCTTGAACAGCAAAACCAACAAGAGGCAAAAAAGGTTCATTTTTATCTTCATACATACATACATGGAATATAAAGAAAACACGGATCTTGCTTCCATTCGTTTCTAACACATCTTGTTCCCACCTGCTGTCCCCTCTGCCCACCGCAGATCCCCCTGTCTCGCCATCACCATCATTCACAGCGACACTTTGATCATTCGTTGCCGTCCGCTTCCCTCCTAATTCTTCCGTTCATAGCGTTGTATGTTTGTCCCTCCTCCTCCTCCTCCTCCAGTGTACACCATCGCCCGCATGTATGCAGCCGTGCGCATGTATGTTGTGCATACTGACGCCGTGAACTGCCACTGCATCGACGGTGTTTCCCCCCCCTTCCCCCCATCACTTAACTGTATTTTATCTCCCACCCACTCGCGTGCTCTCTCTCTCTCTCTCTGTCTCTGCCTCTCTCCCTCCTCTCTCTCTCTATCTATCTCCTGTGCAGTCTTCCGCCCCCCACCACTTCGTCCGCCTCCGGCTACAGAGGAAGAAGAGGAAAGGTAAAAAAAAACCCTACATGATCGCTCAGAATGATGGGGGAAGATCGCAGCTACACATAGCATATATATATATATATATATATATATATATGCAGATAAATAAATAAACGTTTTCCAAGTGACCGATAAACAAGGGAAAAGGGCCGTTGCCTTTGATTCTTCGTTCCTTCTTTTGTATTTCGATTTTGTCTTTGCTTTTTGTTTCCTTTTGCGTTACCGTCATCATTTATAACCTCCCCACCTCCTCGCTGCATGATGCGAGGCGTTCACTATAGCACCAGCAGCATCTCAAATACGCAGTCAGTGGATACGCCACACAAACGCAAATTCTCTCTTTCTCTTTCTCTCTCTCTCTCTCTTTCTGGGCCTGTGTGGAGGCGCATAATAAGTCGTTGCGGAAAACGGGCTAGCTAGGTTGACTCTTCCAGATACCGCACGTATTGTCCTTTGAGCCCGTCAAGATGGTATCTCCCTCGTAGTTGAATGCACAGGAGAATATCTCATCCTTGTGCCCCACAAGGCACTGCAGAAGTTCTCCAGTCTCCACATTCCACAGGCGGCATGATTTATCGTTTGAGGCGGAGATGATTTTCGTCCCCTGCGGGTTGAACTGCACCTTTGAGATTTCGCCCTCGTGACCTAGCAGAGTTGCGATGCAGTTGCAGGTCGCGGTGTCGTACACACGCACCGTAGCATCTGCGCTAGCTGTCGCAATGAGTGACCCCGTCGTGTTAAAGGCCACGTCAAGGATCTCGTCTGTGTGACCCCGCAGCGTCGACACACATCGCCCGGAGCCAACGTCCCACAATTTGCAAGAGCGGTCAATGCATCCAGTGACGCAGAGGTTGCCGGTGTAGTCAAACTGCGTGGAGGAGATTTCAGCTCGGTGTGCATTTAGCGTGTGGGTGCACTTGCCGGTGCGCACATCCCACAGTTTGGCATTTGTGTCAAAGCTACCTGTGAGAATTAAATTACCTTTTATGTTGAAGTTGAGTGAGACTATCTCTGCGGTGTGTCCAAGGAGGGAGTATGTCTCATGCCCCGTCTCCAGGTCCCACACCTTCGCTGTGTAGTCCATAGACCCTGATGAAAGCAGCGTACTCTGCGAATTAAAACTCATGCAGACCACCTCCGCCATATGACCCGCTAGTGTATGGTAACACTGCCCTGTAGCCGCATCCCATATCTTGCACGTTCTATCAAAACTGCCTGTGGCCACACGATTCCCATAGGGGTTGTTAAATGAGACTGAGTACACTACATTGCGATGACCTTCCAACGAAACAATTTCGTTTCCAGTGGCTGTGTCCCACACCTTGCAGGTGCGATCGTAGCTGCCAGTGATGAAGGAGTCCCCGCCCTTATTAAAGGCGCAGTTCGTCAAGGGCAACATGTGTCCCCGCAGCGTCTTAAAGAGCACAAATTTCTCCTTCCTGTTGTGCCCCACCTTTAACTTTTCCACGAGACGCCGCAGGTACGATAGAAGCTGTGGTGCATACTTCTCAGAGAGTAGTGGCTCCTCCTTAATAATCTCCGCCGCAAGACGCTCTAAGTTTGTCGTCACTGTGAGGGTTAGGAGATCTATCGTCTTCTCCCGGACCTCCCCTAAGGAGGTCTCGTACTCCAGCGTGATCCCTGGTGGGTAGTACCGCAGCAAAAAGGAACGGAGCCGCATCCTTCGTACTCTTTCTGTTATTGTTTGGCTTTTGCTTTCTCTTTGTTTCTTCCCCCCGTAAAAAAAAAACTAAATAATAATAATAATCCTCGTGTGCCTTTGCCTTTCGCCTCTGGCTGGCTGTATATATATATATATATGTGTGTATGTATATATATTGTTTCTTTTTATTCTGATGCTCTTGTTCTTACCCTTTCGTTTGCCTGTTGGGCGTAAACTATCCAAAACTACGGCGCGCGGTCACACTGCCTCGACGGCAGCGGCGCACCACAACCCCGACGCACGCGAAGAGAGAAATAAAGAGAGAGAGAGAGAAAAAAAAAAACAAAAAACAAACGGGTAACACACTTCCACACACGCTTACGCCCCGCCCCAGAGGCTGCAGGGCCGGGAGTGTCAGCCGCCACAGCGACAGTGACGGCAACACACGGAAAACAACAACCAAAAAACAACATAAATAAACGGGGCACAAAAGAAAAAGAAAAACAACAGCAAAACGTATTGCGATTCGAGTTGACAGTGCAATGAAGGAGATAACAAAAGGGAACGCAAAGGGACATGAGAACGAAAAAGATAAACCAACCGTAAAAGGGAAAAGAGCAAAGGTCCCATCCTCCCCACCCCACTGGTGGTGCTGCTCGCACTTGGCCTCCTCTTCGCCCTCCTCCCCACTACTTTATTATGGTTCCCACCGTTTCCCCTCGGCACACATGCGAGGTGGTGTCGCTGAATAAAAACACTCCTCCCAAGTAAACGAAACACCACAAACCAAAGAAAACCACACGCAACGCAACTACATCAGCACGTCTCACCGCCATATGCGTGGGGAGAGAGTTCCCTGCAGCTCTGCCGCTGCGTGTGTGAGTGCCTTCCTCGACGCGGTCTCACTCCTCCTCCTCCTCCTCCGTTTCAACCACAACTTCTTCCTTCGTAACGTTGTTTTCAGGCCTCTCTCGCTCTCTGTTTGTTTGCTTGTTTGTTTCCCCCTTCTCGCAATTGTTACTGTTGTTGTTTACTTCTCACGGAGCCTTCTCTCTCGCTCCTCGCCTTTGTTACTCTCTTCCTACGTCGTTGCAGAGGCCACGGGCGCGTCATGAAAGGTCGTAGGCTGCCTCTTCGTCGTTGTCGTCATCCACACTCTCCTCCCGCTCGTACTCCTCATCCGCGTCGTCGTCGTCAACGAAGAGCTCCTTGTCCATCTGCCACAGGTCCCAGCCGCGCAGTTTGCCCTCGCCTGCCTTCGCCTTGCGCACCCGCACCGCCTCCAGCTCGGCTGCCTGCACCCGCTTCGCTGCCTTCCAGGCCTGAAAACTCTCCTCTGTCACGGGTGTGAGGTCGGTGCGGTCCTTCAGCGCCTCCCGCTCCGCCTCAAGCTTCTCCTCTAATCGGCGCTCATCGTGCTGCACCTCTTCAAAGTCCTCGGGCCGGAACAGGTAGTCCTCCGGAGCACAGCCAAGGTTCCTGTCGGCGTCCTCCGCGTCGCCCTCCTCCAGTGGCCCGTGTGTGACGGGTTTGCCCGGCCCACCTACGTCCTTAAAGAGTTTTGCCATCTCTGCCTCAAAGGCCCGCTTCTCCTCCCGGGCCTTCCGCTTTGCATCCAGCTCATCTGTGCGCTTGCGCTCATTTGGGTTTCCCTGATTCACGCTCTTAGAGACAGACTGGATGTAGGACTGCACCTTGGAGCTGCGGTTTTTGTTTTTGAGTCCAAATGTCTTGTCCTCCAAGATCTTTTCCTTCTTCTTCTGCTCCGCCTTCTTCCCCATTCTGCCCAGCCGCGTAGTCGTGATGAAATATCCTTCCAGTGGGGGTTCTGTGTGCTTGTGTGGGTGGTTTAAGCTGCTTCCCTACGGCGTGCGTATGTCGCTTCCGTGGCCACGCAGGGTGGGTGATCAACGACAGTAGGAGATAGAGGGCGAAAAGGAAAAAACAACAACAACAACAAAAGAAATAATAATAACAAGCGGGAATGCAATGCGGGTCACCTCTCTGCAGGGCGACGGAACACACAGCACCGTAGCTGCGAGTGGGGTGCCGTGGTGACAGACGGCATGCGGATATTATTCCATACACGCAAGCATGTATGCACACGTTAACAGTGCCTTCGCGTATAACGGTTTCTCTCCTGCTCAGGCACACCTGCGGTCTATGCGATGCATGCAACCGGCATGCAGCTTTCACCAGCGGTGCTGGCTCAGCCAGGTAACAAGAACAAAAATTCAAAAAAGAAAAAGAAAAAAAGAACAACTGTCCTCATTGGATCTGAAACGTGCGGGATGGTGAGAACCAAAGCCCATACGTGCATAAAATTCTCTTCTTTTCCTTCTTTTTTTTTTTTCCACATACACATTGATAATTGACTCCATGACCACAACAACATGCGCTAACCCCCGCCCAAACACACGCACACCCATCAGTTCTCCAGAGGATACGAATAACGGGTTTCTTGACATGTAGAAAAAGACGTTGTTTTCCATCACTTCCCCACCATGCGCATGCGTGTGCCAATTTATCCCCCTCCCTCCTTTTTCCCCCTCTTTGCCCCTGATCTATGGTTTCTCATCATTGTTACCTACGGCCACAGAGAGAGAGAGAGAGAGAGAAAGACCGATGACCATGCATTTTTATTTACTGTATCTATCCATAGCCATCTAAAGATGGAGAGATACAGTCTCACAGACTTATCTTTGACGACAAAAGAGACGGCGACGGGAAATACATCAGCAATAGTCTACTCTACCTCAGCGCCTTGCCTTTTGGAACCAACGGTCCTCGTCAGTGGTAATGGTGGTTGGATTGGGAAGAGCACGGTTCATGCGCCGGCCACGATTCCGTGCACGCGGTGCCGCAACAACCTCATCCTCCTCATCCTCCATGGACTCGTCATTGCCTGCCGACACCGGTGGTGGCGGTGCACGCCTTAAACCCATGCCCTTCTTCATCGGTCGCCGCGCAACTTCTTCTTCCTCTTCCTCATCATCATTATCTGCGGAAGCTGGCGGTGGCGGGGCTGGCTTCTTCATAGCATATCCCTTCTTCGATGCCGCATTGTGCTGCGGTGGGGCTGGGGGCTGCACTTCCTCCTCCTCGTCGTCTTCCAGAGCATCATCATCGTCGTCGTCTTCGGCAGCCGCAGGCGGGGGTGGCGGTGCACGCTTGCCAGCGTGGGTTGTCTTCTTTGGCGAGGGAGTCCGCTGATGTGGCTGCTGCCGTGGTGCCTCCTCAATACCCTCCTCCTCCCTCGTTTTCTTTGCTCCCTCCGCCTGCTGCACACGACCTCGGGCCGAGCGTGCCTTCACAAGAGCCGGAGCGGACTGCTTCCTGCATGCGGCTGCCGCACGTGGTGCCTCCTCCTCCTCGTCGTCTTCGTCTTCGTCTTCGTCTTCGTCTTCCGCCTCTTTCTCATCATCATCATCGTCTCCCTCCGCCGCCTCATTTTTCATCTTTTTGTCTTCCTCCTCCTCCTCCTCTTCCTCGTCTACCGCTTCTTCGTCGTCGTCCTCCTCCTCGACGGTGACTGCCCTGTGCTTGGCGGCAGCCGTCTTCTGCTTCCCACCCTTTGCGGGTTTGACTTCGTCGTCTTCTTCAGTTTCTTCTTCCTCCTCCTCCACCTCATCCTCACCCACAGCATCGACGCTATGGACCTCCTCCTCTTCCTCTTCCTCTTCCTCCTCGTCCGCCGCAGTAGCAGCCACTTTCGCGCCTGCGGCAGTGTTCCCGCCGTAGCTTCCAGGCTTAGAGGATGTGTCCTTCGCTGCAGGGACAACCGGTGCGGGTGCGCGTCTTGTGGAGGGTTTCTTCTCCGTCTCTTGTTCCTCCTCTTCCTCTTCCTCTTCCTCCGCCTCTGGCAGCAGCTGCACAAGCGTGGGGGTGAGCAGCGCCTCCAGGTCGTCGCGGTTGGTTAGGATGTCGTGCACCACCGACACACCGAGGGTCTCAATGTTGTCAACGATATCTGAGACACACGTGCAGGCGGCGATGGCGTCTGCCATACCGAGTGGCTCCGCAAGCTGCAGCAGCCGCGTCTTCTCCGAGGCGGTAAAAGGGCCTGTAATGTCAACGCTAACAATGGAGGTTGTCATCCCATCCACGCCACCTGCGCCCCCGCTCCCACCACTGATAGAGGTGGCAAGAATGTGATAGTGCACAACATTAACGCGCGCAATCACCTTCTTTTCCACCACGTGCAGGATACCAAGCATCGCTTCGCCAAAGCGGCAGCGGATGTCCTCCTCCCGCACTGTCTCCTTCAAGGAGGTTTCATAGAGATGCAGCGTCGTGCCCATCAACGCCGCCACGCTACATCCCGAGTTGTAGTCAATGGTTGGACGAATCGGCGTAAATTTCTTACTTTTAGTGGCAAAGAAGGCGCTATACGCCTTGACGGCATCACACACCTTGTCTGCCGTCATGTCCGTTGCAGTTTTACTGCGCCGTGTGCGATGCGGCCGACGGTCGGAGGAAAGCAGCGGAAACCCGTACGTTGGAATATCCTGTGGCACAAGTGTGATCGCCTGCTCACGTGAGATGGCGCGAAGCAACACGGCTCCATGCACTAATGCCTCCACGCCCTTTTCCTTGAAAAACTTCGCCGTGGCGTCATCTTCCGCAACTTCATTTGCCTCAATGTAAGCGCTGTACGCAGCCCAGACCTGATGCAATGCTGTAATTGCCGCTGGTTCCCCGCCTGTCAGCTTTGCCGCACCAAAGGTGCTATACAGTGCAAACGGATCCACCTGCGCGCAATCTCCATCTATGGCAATAACAAACCCCTTCTTTTCATCGTCTTTAATGTCGGGAAGGTGAAGATAACCATCGGCGCTATTGAACTGAATAAGCATCAGTTCTGCTAGCCGTGCTAGCGACCTGTTTTGCTTTGAATCCGGAAGTGACGTGTTGGCTTCCGTCACGGCAGTCACCTTTTCTTCGTGCTGGTGCTCGCCGCCTTCGGCTGACTTGTTAGCGGTATCTGCAACCTTCTTTTTCTTCAGCTTGACAGGCTTCGCATCCTCAACATCGGCCTTGGCTGTCGTCCCCGACGTCGATGCAGATGCCGCGGACTCCCCTGCCGCACCCTTGTCGTGAGCACTGCCGCGGATGTACGGCGTCGGGGCAAACTCCTGCTCCGTTTCCTGCAGCAACCGTGCAATTTCCGCATCCTCCTCGTCCTCTGCGGCGACGACAGTGGGGTGTGACTTGTCGCTTCTCCTGACATCTTCGCCTGTGGCGGCTGCGGTGCTGCCTCCTGCCTTCTCAGTTCCCTCTTCCATGGGCCCAACATGCCTTGCATGTTTTCTTCCACGAACCCGCGCAGACTTGTTCGTCTTGGCATTACTATGAGTGCCGCGTTCCTCCTCCACGGCGGCAGAGGCAGTGGCGTTGACGTCCTCGGTGCGCTTCTTTCGTACCTCCTCCTCCTCCTCGCCTTGTGGGTGCGTTTCGTCTCTTTCTATCATCGCCGCGGCGTTGGCGGCACTGGACGCAGCCGCGGCTGTTTCTGGTAATGCCTGCATACCCGTAATGAGTGGAGCGAGAAACTGCCGGTTGCCCTTGTTCGCCGCGAACTCCTCAATGATGGCCTTTTGAATCGTCTTTGTGAGCCACGTGATAACCTGATTTTTTTGCGTCTCCACCGGGTTCCGCGCCATTGCCGCATACGCCTCCTCCATAAGTCCACGCGAGTAGGCGGAGATGGGCACCCGATCGCGGTTTTCATCCCAGCGTCCAACTGTCGTAATGCCTGCGAGCCGCAGCGCGCGAGCGTCCTTGCACGCCTGATACCGCTCCGAGCCCAGCACCACATCCAGCCGTTCCTTTCGGCCATGTAGCGCGATCATCTGTCGCTTTGGGACCATGACGACAAAGTCCAACATGGAGACATCCTCCACGTCTGTCGCGTCGGGATCTAGCAGCAGCTGCACCATCCCCCGCAGTGTCTCAGTGCGAATGCCGCTCCCGCTTGTCTGCACGCTGGGGAGTAAAACCTGCTCAATGGAGCACTGGTGCGGCGAGGCGGGGAGGGAGCGGGTGGACGAGGTGCTCAGCGACGGTGTCGATGTGGAGTGCGCCCGGATACTAAGGCCCAGCCCCATCGCAGAGCAGCCTGCGGCGTATCGACCAGGAGCACTGATACGTCTGAGGGAGTTGGTCGAGGACTTGAGCGTGCCTGTGGCATCCATGCTGCATCTTGCAAAGCTCCAGGCGATTGCCGCAACACCGCCGGCAACGGTAGCCTGCGGTGCAAAACTAGCCGCAACACGGCGACGTAACATTTATTCCCTCCTTTCTGTGGGAAGAACTGTTCTTTTTATTTTGTTTTATTTTTTCTTCCCCCTTTTTATCGTTTCTTTCGGATTCACCCTCTATGAGTTTTGTGTGGTCACACCGGCCGTGAAAACAGACACGCTCTTCTCCTTTTCCCCAGCACTCTCTTGCGTCCAGGCAATCCCTCCCCCCACCCACCCCCAGCAACACAGCAGCAGGAGAAACAACAGCCACAAGCAGCAAAACACAGAAAGAAAAAGATGCAAACAGAGAGATGCAGCACTGCGATTCAAAGCAACAACGCAAAGACAGTGGCTGCCGTCACCTTTCCCCCAATCTTTGCATTTCACTTTTGGGTCTTAAGCGGCACAAGTGAAAATGAACGAATAAACAACACACAAACACATGCAGAGAACGGGGTGACCAAATAGGGGCAGTGCGTTACAACAAATCCCCCTCGACGGGAACGTTGGCGATGCACATGAGCGGTGAACATGCAATGCACAACGTGCCTACACGCTGGCCACAGCGATGCAACGGCAACTCTAGTGGCGGCAACTCAACGTTTTGCACCACAGTCGTTCCACCCTTCATTCGTTGCGTGACACCGCTAGAGTGACGGCTGTCGCACTGCTCCACTGAGGCAAGTATGATGTCAATAATCGGCAGCGTTGCAGACCCAACAAGATGCGCCTCACCCTTGTCGCCTTTCTCCACGCTGGCGCTGCAGTCAAAGATAGAGATAAGCATCCTGGCATGGGCGAGAACCACGGCGTGGTGTGGCAGCAACTCAATCTCGGCAACTGCACCTGCTGCTTCGCCCGCCAATGGTTTGAGCGCGGCTCCCACCGCGGCGTTTGGGTATGACGAGGGGCACGGTGATGGTGGCGACGATGTTAACGGCAACGGTGGCTCCACGGCGTAGTCGCCGATGATACACCTTGGCGCGGACTGCGGCGTTGCCTTCACTGGATGCATGCATGACTTTGTTTGACGATAAAGCAAAACCGCAGTGACACCGTCCACGGGCGCCCGTTCACGTGCGATAATGACGATTGGAGAAGCGAGAAAGGGCACAAACTGCACAACAATAGCGAGGTGGCGACCCTCCCGCGTGGGTGGGGTGGCGGTGTCGCAGTGCTCAGGCAACTGCATCGCCAGGCGACGCAGACGCAGCCACCAACTCTGTGTTTTCCCCGGTTGCGCTGCTGCCTCGCGCCCCCACAACACGCCCCCAAGTGAGGGTCGTAACACATGCAGCGAGAACACGGCGGAAACCGGCAAATACGCGGAGAGCAGAATATTCTCGACCTGCTTCAATGCGTTACACTCGCGTTTTCTGGGCAGTTTCACCGCCTGCTGGGGGCAGCGCGGCGCCATGTGTGCGTATGCCTCACGCAACTTGACAACTCGTGGGAACCCCGGGAACAAGAGCGGAACACTGCCGTATGCCCGCGGCGTCACCTGCCAATGGTGCAGACGCCTGTTGGGCCGCTGCTTGTATAAAACCCGTGACGGGTACGCCAGAAATACCCCATCGGCCACCACGGCTTTTTTTGTTTCGTTAAGGTGCTTGCCTTTTCTGTCTTTGTCCGCCGCTTCAGCCTCAGCCGCGTTGGAAAGAAACTGTAGGGTGTACCGCATTGTCCCCGGTTCCACGCTGAAGGAGGGGGTAAATAGTGGCAAGGGCTCCAACACACCGCATCCCCGCGAGAGCAGCAAAGCGTTCGCGCGTAGTGCCGTCAAAACATCATGTCCTCGCATCAACTCGTGGATAACAGGCAGAGACCCACGGGAGAGACGTTCATGACTTTCCTTCTGCTTTCCCGGGGCCTTCCCCACGATGCCATTTCCCTTGTGTTTCTTGCCTCCTTCCTCGGCAAGAGCACATCGCATACGCTTGAAAAATTCCACAAGAAATGACGATGAACCACCGCAGGAAGTTCCTTCCTCCGTTCTTCTCGCACCCATGCCCACAGATGGCGCCGCCGCTGCTCTCCGTGGCTCAGGCTGTAGTGAATCGAGGAGCAGCGGCGTGCCCCAGTGACCCATCAAAAAGACATGGTCGTAGAACTCCAGCCCATCCACCGTGGAAGTTTGTCGACGCAGCGTGCGAAGTTCCTGAACAGGCCCCTCAGCTTCTGCCCCGCCATTCGCCGTCGTCTTGCCGCTGTGGTCCGCACCTGCGTTGCTGATGGACGCCAACTGCAGCAGGCTTCCGTGCGCGCCGCCGGGGATGAGAGTGAGCACCTCCTCAATAAACGCACAGTACGTCGCCAACACAAGAGGCGAGAGAGTTGTGTGAGACGCCATTGCAGGGAAATGCACCGCAAGAAAGCAGACAGGGGATTGCCCCACCTCTACAGACACCAGCACCGCCCCATGTTTACCGTTTAACGCAGTAAACGTGAGTGGAATCAGCCTCGTGCGGACTGCCCCACAGAGACATGCGACATGTCGTCGTGCAAAAACAAGCAGCACCACGGCCGTATTTAACGAGGCAACGGCGATGGGAACGTAACTCTGCTGCTCAAACCACTCCTGCGCATAGGCGATATAGTTATCGGGTGTGGGGTAAAACGACACCTCTTGTGCGGTGAGTGCCACGATGTCAAACAACATCCTTGACGGCAGTTTTTTTTTGTCCGGTTGTGGACAGGCCCCGTCTCGTCCATGTTCCACATTGGCCCGCGTCGACGCGGACGTTTCCCCACACTGATGTCGGCCTTTCCGTCCAAGTCTCTCTGCCCCGCTCCCCCGCAAACTCTTCTCATTCCCATTGTCATCCACCCCTTCTTCCTTCACGTGGTGCACAGTCGTCTTCTCTCCGCCCGACGCGTGGTCCATGGACCAGTGAGGAGCCAGCGTGTCAAGCCACTCACGCAACGACGCTGGATTCTCCATGGGCATCCCGTCGAGGTTGATTGTACCCGTCCATACGGTGAGCGGCACAGTTGCCTCTCCACTGAGGTGGAGTCCACAGACACCCTCAAGCCTCACCGTAAACCTCTCCGTTCCCTCCTTCGCTTCCTGGTGCAATCCACTGGCAGGCGTGCACGGGAGCGCGGCCTGGTAGTCTTGCAGCCGCCTTGTCGTTGTCTTCCTTTCTTCCCCCGCCTTCACAGCCTCGCCTGAGGCAAACGGGGAAAGGCCTTGCACCCGCTTCGCCATGTACTCGCTACTGTTTGCAAGGCGGGCGTCAACCATCACATTCCACGATACCCCATGGGAGTTGCTTTGACGCTGAAGCCATTGCTGGTGCTGCCGCGTCCCCGTCGTTGACGTCATGACGCCGTCCTCGTGCAGATGCTGCAGAACCGCCGACCAAAAGAGTGCAGCTGAAGCAGGCGAGGATGTTGGCATCACCGCACGCAGGCTGACCTCTTCAAGGCACGACGGTCGCCGTACACCGTGCGGCTTGGGAGATGACGCCTTCAACGTGGAGTCTTCCACATCCTCCTTCGACACGACAACCGCCGTAAGGGCGGGTGCAAAAACACGCACCGTCGGTCGCAATGCAGCGACACACTCCATAAAGCGCTCCCGCTCTCGCATATCCACAAAGTAATCGTTATAGACAATGCACTGAGTGCGATAGAAGACAATGGTGACCCCGTACACGGGCCGTGACACCAAAGTCACGGCGCTATGCTTGCTTTTCCGCTCATGCGCCTTAGTTTTTCCCGGGCAGGCGTCGGAGCGGGCCACGTGCAGCAGCTCGTAGCTTTGGTACATGGCAGAGCGGATGTAACCACGGCGACGCAGGTGGGGGTCCTCCTCCGCGGGTGCACTTGTGGCACACTCAATGGTGCTCTTAAAGTGATCAATGAACCACACATGTGTGGTGTAGCGCTCCTTGTGGAGGCGATGGACGTCGATAAGTTTGGCCTGACGGAACGGAGGCGTAAAAGGAATGGGGGCACTCTCCTGAGCGGGATCCGCACCACCATCGTACACCTCAGCCTCCTCACTCTGCGTTTGCCATGGCAGAATATGCGTTTCACTACCTCGCCTGAAAAGGGACTTTTCCTCCCCCCATCTGCCGCGGCACCGCAGATGCGCGGCGGATGCGCTGTGAGCTCGTGTTGCACTTTTATCCTTGTGGCTCCAGTGCACGTGGGTCACAAATGCCGTCCGCAACTGCGTCGCAAAGGGAACGTCAGACAACGGCAGCACCACCGTCGGCAGCGCCAGAGCCCCAAGGAGAAGGCTGTGGGGTAAGGCGTGACACTGGTCACCACCACCACCACCGCCACCAGACGCAGCAGCCCCTGTCGACGAAGGGAACGAGTATGACTGGAGCAGCTGACACGCGCGGCTGTCAGCCTCAAAAAGGCACATCACCGCACGCTGCAGCCCCAAGTCATGCTCCGCGAGTTCGTGCACAGACCACTGATGTAGAAAAGAGGCCGGAAACCCTTGGGCAGCCTCAAAAGGTGATCTCTCCCTTCTGCGTCTTGGCGACGTGTTATCCTTGCCATTGACGCTAGCCACGTCTAACAGATCTGCCTCAACGACAGTTTCCGCAACTGCTACCGGCAATGATGCTGATAGGGATGATAATGCGGCATCGGTTACTTGGGTGTAGGTGTGGTGCAGCGCCATGTTTGCCGTGACAAGAAGGACGCGTTTCAGTTCAATCAGCGTTAACGGTATAGGCCCATCTTTGGCGTGGTAGCCGCCACCTCGCCACGGCCATATATTCCACCCTTTTTGGTGCAGGCGGGAGCGTTGCAGGTCGTTGTACATTTGAATCGCGGCATCCTCAATACGCTCAGAACCAAAATAACGCTTTAGGCGAGGCGAAAGAACAGGCATCGATGCCGTGTTCAACCACGTTTTCCACTGCTTCCACTGCCCTTTATTGCCAAAGCCGAGTATTAAGTGGTTCTCACGCGTGTCGAAGAGGTGATTCTTTCCCACGCCGCGCCCAACAGAAGGGACAATCTCAATGAAGTACAGCAGCTCACTTCCACTGCTTGTGCCATCAACCCCCGCCACCGCCCTACTACAAGAAGAAAAGTTCCCGGTATTCCCTGACACTCCTTTTCCCGCGGACGCTGCCATCAGCAGTTCCTTCGCATCGGACTGCCCCGTCTCCCGTCGCTTCTCCAGCAGCGACCTTGAAACCCCTACGATGGTTGCCCCCAGCAGGTAACACCCACCCTTCGCCTTGGTCTCCGGATGCGGCTCACGCCCTGCAAAGGTGTAGTAGTACAAAAAGTGTCCATGAATCACGACTGTGGTGGGAACAAATATTGTCGTTTTCTTGCCAAAAAACAGGCCCGTGTTCAGGTGCTTGAGTCTGTGCACGTGGGCCACACTGCACAAATTATGAATCATTTGACACGGCGCGGCGGCATCTTCGCCCCACCATTTTTGCTTAAAAGCCGCGTTGAAGGCGGCGTCAGAGTTCTCTTGTTTCACAGTCACTGCCAACTGTCTTTGGTGCATCGTCATACGGAAGGACGGACCTTCACCACGCATAAGATGCTTATACTCTAGTCTGTGCGATGGCACGGTGGGGCCGTCCGATTTCCACAACCGTGCCTTCTCCAATTCTGCCAAAAAGTTCAAAAGCTCCAGCAGTAGTTGTCGCTGGTGACACAGTGAAACACCCCCGGCAGACATCCTTGCAGCGTCCGCGTCTATGTGCGGGACGATAAAACGTTGCAGGACCCGTGCCTCGGTTAAGTTCTCCGGCTGCGGCAGAAGATACGATGACAACGTCGGGTGCCACGGCGATGGTACTGCATTTAAAGCTGCAGTGCCCTCTGCAGGCGTATCATTCTTTTTCCTCTTCTTAGACTGGCTTCCCCCGACGCCACCGTCGTCCGGCCAGCCAAGAAGGGCCGCCACGAGAGACGGCATGGACGCCGATGGTCGCAACAGCCGTGCATAACGCCCACGACACCCGAACAAACGCTGAAGCGTTTCAGCATCATTTGGGTAAACAAAACGTGCAGCACCACTCTGTGTGGATAGTTCCACCTTTTGTCGAGTCCCTTCACGTTGTGTTGCTCGTGCTCCCATACAAACCTGCGGCTTCGCGTTCAGCTGCTGCTCCAAGTACTCGTCAAGTGAGTCATTCTCAAGGCGGAGCTCCTCCACGGAGGGTTGATGCTTCAGGGACCGAAAAACTTTGCCAGCCGACAAGCAGCCGCCACCACCAAGCCCCGCATCCACCGGCCTTGGCATTTGCAGCCACAAAGGGTCGACGACGTTGTTCGTCGCATGTTGCGGGACGTGCGTGGATACCGCCAGCCCCGCCGCAATCTCTTCCCAGGAGCGCACATACAGTGCCGCCATGAGCGACGCCCCATCACCATCGCCGCCCTCCTGCTCCTGCCGCCGCTCCAGAGGAGAAGTCCCACTATAAGCCCCACTACTCAAGAATGGCGCAGTGGCAAGTACACGCTTTGTCCCCGCGTTGTTCGGTGCCCCATGCCGCGAGACGTATGCCAGTAGAAGTTTTAGCTGCTGGTTAAGCGTCCCCAAACGAGCGTTGCACGTGTTATTAGGTAGTGCAGCGGACATCCACTGCGACAGGAAGAGCACTTCATGCGACGGCACCAACTTATTTTGCGTGCCACCCTTCTTGTCTTTGGTTTGCCCCCACATAAGATGTCGCCACACCACCCCACACTTCTGTAGGGTCTGGTGGTATGCCGCTACAACGCCGCGCTCGACAGCCTTCCAGCGGCGTTGTAGCAGTTCCCTTCTCTCGTCCAACGGAGGTGCGCCAGACAGCGTTCCCAGCTGCTGTTGGTGCCACTCAAGTGCCTCACAGCGACAACGAGACTCCCGCAGCGCAACCATGGCACGAAAAAGCTGCTCCGCCTCAGCGACTACCACCACTGCGGACGACGGCGCCTTAAACGACATTGTGTCGTCGCGTACCGAAAGAATAAAAACGTACGGGCCAACGACAAGTCGTGCTCCAAGTGTGAGTGGCACCCAAAGTGGCGTTGAAGGCTGAGCAGTGGCAAACGGCCTCGCCTTTTTCGGTGACCTCCACAGAACCGGACCTCCATTAACGTAGACGGCGGGCACAGCATCCGTCCGGAGTTGACCACTTTGCCAAAGATAAGCCGCAATAAAAAATTGACTCCCTACAGCCCGAACACAAACCTCCACCGCGGCCCCACGCACTGCCTCCTCGCCGCTGCGGATGACATCACTCGGAAAGGGCAACTGCACCACCCCTTCCTGCATTACTGGGGACACTAACGTGTCTGGTGCAAAACGCATACGAAGTGACAGTTCAACGGGGCTCCTATCGCCCAGATCATTCTTGCGCAAGTCAAAAAAGAGCGGAAACAGCGTCTTTGCCGGGCCTGAATCACGCAGATATTCCAACATGGCTCCATGCTTTGCTGCAAGCGGTGTGAAGCGTTGGCCACACCACGTAGTCGTGGAGGGGGGAGGAAGCAGTAGAAGAAAATACACCGGGTGCCGTCGCAGCCCCGCACCCACGTCCTCCTCCGCATAGAGAGTAGCACTACATTCCTTTCGCCTTGTGTCGCATAGAGCAAAGAGATGCCACTGTTTCTTACTTGGCGTTGCCCATGCTCGCACCAGTGCCTCCCGTGAAGTGCGGTCTGCATGTTGCCATGACAGAACAAGTTGCCGCTCCAATGAATGACGCTCCGCCACTGTCACCGTGAGTTGCTGAACAAATGAGGAGAGAATATGCAATCGTTGTTGATCCGCGTCTGCTGTGGTGCTGAAATGCGTCTTCGCATTGCATAATGCTGTCTCTACATTGGCTAACTCCCCCCGCGTCGCCTCTACAGGATCGAGCGTGCAAGGAACGAACAACCGCTGCCGGTGACGACACAACAACTTACACGCCACTGCCGTTTTTAATGCGTTCATTGTGTCAGTGGCATGTAGTAGAGACGGCCGAATAGTTGGGATCAGAAATAGTTTTGCATGCCCTCGCCGCACATTCTTCAAAAACAGCGATAATGTGTTCGGTGGGTCGGCGTCAAAGGCAGATGCTGCTGCGGCTTCTGGTACCTGTAGAGCAGAACGAAACGCACTTCCGCTCGCAACGGCGGGCGTCCATTGAAGTTCAATAAAAACACCTTCGGCATGGTACACTGGCGGCGGCCCATCATTCCCTGCCATGATCTCGTCCAATATTATGTTGCACTCCTCCCGCCCGATCAGTTGAGCCCGCAGTAGCAGCGCAACGTGCAGGGGAGCGTGCACCCCCAACACATGGAGTTTCTCACGTAGTAAGGTGAGGTGCTCCAAACCGTGCTGCTGATAGGCAACCATCGTGTCCTCCGCATGCACGTCCATCCACACAGCGCCCTCCACAAGAAGCGAGGAAAAGGCCCCGCCCTCTTCATCTGCAGGGAAGCACTTCGTAACGTCTGGATGGCCACTATGATTAGCTGTACCACGTACATTTTTCTCCTTGACGCCGTCTTCATGCCCAGCGACGCCTAGATTTGCCGTCGAGCCGAAGAGACGTACCGTGCGCCGAAGCGCAGCAAACGAGCTGGGGTTCCACAAGTCGTACATAAACACTGATGGGACATGATCGGATGGGGAGAGCCCAGTGAGCGGGTCGTCCTGAAACGCCACGAAGGCCGCCTGTACTCGATGGTCGTCCTTTATTTGCCTCGCATGTTTTTTTCTCCAGGCATCGACCGTCGCAGTTTTTCTCCGTTGTTTTTGACGCCTTTGGGTGAAGTCAAGCAGTTCTCGCAGGACATGTGAGATCAACCCGTGTGTGTGTGTAGAGGCGAAAGACGGCAGCTCTGTGCAGCCCCACTCGCGGTCGCTGGCAGTATCTGCCGACTGCGGGGAGCCGAATAGCGTGTAGGACTTTCCGCTCTGGGGCGGGCCGAAGGCAACCACCGTCACATGGCGTCCGCCTGTAAGCAGCGGCACAATCGGCTGGTCCGCAACATCCTCCTGCTCCAGCATGAAATTCCGCCTCCTGTGCGGCCGCACGGAGTCCCCTGCAAAGGCGCTTTTGCCTTCCATCGCAGGATGGTAGGAGCAAAGGCTGTTAAGATAGGCAAGCTGCTCCACCTCGCGCTTAAGTGCCGCCTCCTCCGCCTTGTCATCATCGCCATCGCCAGCCTCACCTTTATTTCTGTCAACCCATGCCGGTGCCCCACCTGTGACTTGGGTCACGACATTTTTAATCATCTGTGCCGCAAAGGCGGCCTCGTCCCCGGGCACGGTACTCATGTCAAGCAACGTATCGTAGCACGGCATCCTCTGCTCAGGCACTGCAGCACCCGCCGCGTTGGGGCGTTCCCATTCATGACGCAACCGTGCAAAACACTCCACGGATTGCGGCAAAAAGACGGCATCAAAGACACGTGGAAACTTCAGCATGCGTAATGTGCCATCTGGCATATATCGTGCTAGTGTGATGCCAGTCCCATTCACGTGCCCACCGGCATCACTGGGCAGTGTGACTTGAAAGGACACTGGATAGGTCACCCGCGGCGGTGCGTTGCTGCCGGACACCGGTGGGGAGGGCTGGGGCTGGCACCCCCTCACTGCGCATACGCGGTACTCCTCCGCCGTCAGTGGGCGACAGCGTACCGCCACATGCGGAAGCAGAAGTTTGTTTCCGCCCCATGCCCCATGGTCCCTCGTGAGGAGGGGTGACAGCTCATCCTTCTCCCACTCCTCCTCCACTGGGCACGGTGCGTGATTCATCGTGGCTCCGGCTCCGCCCAAAGAGATACGGTCCGCCCCCTCCTTGCTCTCACTCCCCACCCAAAAGAGAATAACCGTGGGCAATCACGTGCCGCCAAGCCAAAATACGGTAAATAACGATACACAAGACGGATGCTATCGGAAAATGGAGAGAGGGAAATTACTGAATAATATATATATATATATATATGTGATAAAACGATAAACACTATTTTACAGCAACAAGCAACTCTGCACCCGCCCACACACAATGTGTTTATGTGTGTGTGTGTGTGTGCAATTTATATTCAACTTTGTTTGCCCCTTTGATTCCTCCCGCCCCTCCTTTTGAATCTCCTCTTTTGGCCCTTCACAAATAGTACAAGATACCGTGACGTGTGGGGGGTCACTTACAAGGAGACAGTACGAGCAATCCTGCTGTCCCCGCACCACCCAGGCTAAATTTCATGAAGAAGAGAAGAAAACACACAAAAAAAAAAGAGAAAGCGAGAAGTAGATGGATGGAAAGAGAGATAGAGATGACAGTGTAGCATACACCACATTAAGAAGCAGTGTCGTGCGTAGTAAGTGATACCCAAACATCCAAATAGGCATCACACCATTATATATAAATGTATGTATGTATGTATGTTATGCATGCAATTGCGCCTGCTCTCCTCATCCTCGTTTCTTTTGCCTCATGCATTCACACCTCGTTTTCTATGTATACGAACAGGTATATATATATATATATATACCCTCGTCTTCGCCGTGCATCCCTCTCCTCCTCCTTCCCCTCTCACAACCACCCCCACTTCTTCTCTCGCCTATGGCATCCGCACACCATTACGCACCTTTCTTTCTTCTTTATTTGGAAATGTCATGTGTGTGTGCCCTTTTTTTTTTTATTATCTTTTAGATTGAGTTCGCTTGGATTGTGTTCACTCTGCACCCCTCCCCCTCCCCAGCCACAACATTCCCAGGAAAAGCGGCAGCGAAGGCACCACCCGCCCAATGTGCGGCTCCACGCAGTCAAAGCAGAAGCCAATGAAAAACAAAACCAACAGTTAACAGGAAAAGATGCAAGGAACACCTGGATAAAAAAAAAAAAAAGGAGTGGGATAAATTTTCTGTATCTCTTTCCTTACAACTCTCCCATTTCCTTCCTTGCAATCCATTCACTCTCTCTCTCCATCTATCTATGCGTAAGTAGAAAACAATGTGCCCACGTTGCCTAGATGCATATGTATATATATATATATATCTTGCCCATTGCAAGCAAGAGAGAGAGAGATCGAGAGAAAGACAGAAGCAATGAACACTATGGGACCGTATTTGTTGTTGTTTTTTTCATTTCCCTTTCTCCCTCTTCCTCTCTTAGCGTGGAGTGGGCGGCACGACCCAAACAAGAGTATTACAGTAGATAGTTGTTACAGACAAGCAAAGCAAAACAAAAAAAAAGAAAATAAAAGAAAAGAAACACACACACAAACAGTGTTGCTGACTAGCACCCGCACTGCTCAACAGAAAAATGTACACCTTTTTTTTTTCTCCTCTTTTTCCCCCTTCATCTCACCCCCGTGTCGGCTTCGGCTGTCTCTCATCCCACCCTGCCGATATGAGCAACGCGTGAGGAGAGGCAGAGGGAGGAGGGCGCGGGAGGAATTGCCGCAAGAAGCGATAGGGCAGAATAAAGGAGGAAGGGGCGGCTGTGCAAGTGTGGCAGCTGCGGAGAGACGCACGTACAGTAGTAGGGGCGGCAAATCCACAAGAACCACCACCACCATCACCGTCACAAAACGCAGAGAGGGAATGTGCGTGTGTAGGGGATGCCATGGCTGCGTAGGTGCGGTTTGAATGCATGAGTGGACGACGACGCGGCGAAGGGGTGCTCGATGGGTAAATAAGGAGGAAGAAAACAGGGACAGGCAACAACAGCAACACAGGAAACAAAAGAGGGGAAAGAAACACGAGGGGTAGTAGTCCTCTACACCCCCCCCCCCCCCTCCTCATCATCATGAGCCACACCACCTCTGCCTCCCCGTCCTCTTCTCCCCCGTAAACGTTCTCCTCTCTTCCTAGTCGTCCATAACACACACCTCCCCGTTCCTTCTGGCGCAGCCGCACTCTCGCCATGCGTGCATTCTCAGACGCAGTGCCTTTTCTAAACGAGAAAAGTATGCTCCCCCTCCCCACCCCTCCGCAGCCCTACTTTCTTTTCATGGCTGCGAGATTTATTTTCTCCCTCGCCGCTTTCCGCCTCTTGCGGTGACGGAGTGAGCGGAGGAAGCAGCTGCGGTACCATTACCACTGCGCCTCTTTGGCGTTCCGCCTTTTCGCTTCGCCTGAGCGGCGGCGGCCGTGCTGCTGTGGGTGCTACCTGGTTTCCTCCGCGCCGCTGGCGAGGACGTCGGCTTCTTCTGCAGCTTCGCCCTCGCCCGCCGAGAATTGGACCGCGACTGACGCGATCCTTGTCGATTGCTGCTGCTGTTACTGCTATGACTGGGGGTCTTTCCGCTTCGCTTTGGATGCACAGCCTGTTCTACGTGAGTACTTGCCTTTCTAACGGCGTCCTCGCTGCCGTCGCTGTCGCCGTCTCCCTCAGCGTCCAGTGAGACGAAGGCCCCACCACCACCACCTGAAGCTCGCGGGAGCGGGTTGCTGGAGAGTGTCGTCGTCACCGTCACCTGCTCCGTCTTGCCGTCACGCCCGCTAGTTGCCGTCGCCGCCGGGGTGACAATGTCGTGTAGCCATGCCAGGGCGTCGTCCTGCGCAGGCGCCGCGGTCGTGGAGGCCGTCGCCGCCGACCGCCGTGCGGCCATGAAATCCGAAGTCACGGGTATGTTGTTGTTGATGGCGTCTTCCGTGGCCATGTCCGTCAGCAGCGCAGCCTGCGTGGTGTCGTCGGTGGCCCGTTCCACTGCAGTCAGCGGCCGCAGCTCCATGAGGGAGTTGTCGTTGAGTAGCGCCTCTAGTAACTCGGCTGACTCCTGCAAATGCTCGGCGTCCGCGTAGGATTCTGGCATGGCGGCTTCCTTTGCCAGGACGGCATCGTGGCGCACCTCCTCCACCTCCGCACCGCGAAAACTCTCCTCCTCCTCATCCACTAGCAAATCCATTAGAAGCGTGTCAGGAGAGACGACCTCCGCCGTATATGGTGGCAACACCGTCGCATCCGGCACAAGCTGCATCAGCGTTGTGGAGAGAAGGGACTCAAGTTCTTCCTGCGAGGCAACCACGTCCTGGTGCACGTGCACGTGGTGTGCGCTCTCTAGTTCGTCCAGGAGGTCATTCAGTGTGCGGAACTCCTTGCCAATACCAAGCGTCCCCTGCAAAGCACGTAGGCGATCAATCACGTCGTCCTCGAAGACAGCGCTCAAGTCCAACAGGTAAGGCACAACAGGGATGAGTGGGACAGCGAAGACGTCGTCTGCGGCCGTGGGCGATGCAACGCCACCAGCCAGAGTGAGTTTGCCACCGTGCGGCGACGTCACCATCGTCTGGTCAATAGAAACGACACTAACGTAATGAATTTGACGAATTTTGTTGTGTGGCAGTACATTCTTCCCCAGGCAGTGCAGCACCCCCAAGAGCGCCTCCGCAAATCGATAGCTGATATCTTGCAGTGCTTCGGGTGTCGTCACGATATCGTACAGTGCCAGTGTCGTCCCGGCAATGCAAACAACGTCGCACCCCCCGTTAATCCCAACACTCGGGCGGAACGGGATGTGTGTCTGTTCTGTCTGTGAAAAGAAGGCCCTGTACGCCGCCGCCGCCTTGCGTACCGTGTCGGGAGTGGCCTTTACCACCACCGGCTCTGTCCCGCCCCGCTGCTTCATACGTGTCGGAGAGGCCAGTAGTGGAAACCCGTAGGGTGGAATCTTCATGTTTAAATCCATCTGTGCGCCAGACACCGCCACTACGCGAAGCATCAATGCTCCATGCAGAAGCACACGCAAGGCGTTACGCTTGCGCTCATTGGTGGTTCCCATGGAGTTCACGACGGCGCAGTACTCCGCCCACACCTCACCCCAAGCACGCACCACCATCGTCTCCCGCGGGGACTCTAACATGTCTTGATGGGTGAATATTGTAAAGAGCGCGAAGGGATGCACCTGACACGTTGTATGATTGTAGGAAACCACAAACCCATCACGCTCATCCTGCACAGTTGTGTCTACCCCCGTCGTGAGAAATCCGGTGGGACTGCTTAACTGTCGCTGCAGCAGCTCCACCAGACGCAGCCGTGCTTCTGGCAAGTTCTGCAGGAGGTAGTTACGCTGCGGAAACTCAGCAAAAAGCTCGGTAGGAACGTAACTGCGCAACAAAGGGTGGGTGCCGCTCCACTGCATGAGACGCGGGGCACCACCGCGAAGATCCATTAACGCCGCCTGCCCTGACCAAAACACATCAAGGGTGTAACCAAGCAGACCAGGACAGTTCTTAAGTACCTCGTACATTAGCCCCGAAAACTCGAGACGCGATCGCTGATGCAATGCATATAAAACAGATACAAGCGGTAAGACACGAAGTCGTTGCTGTAGTCCAATACCGTTGGATAACGGAATAAAGTAGCGACGAACCGGAGCATCCGCATGCGTGAGAAGAAGCCTGCTTGCGCGATGACCGGTAAAAACCACGTCAAGTTGTCCAACTGCGACAGTCAGTTTGGCTAAAGCCGCCCCCACCGAATCCAGGTGAAAAGGCATGTAATGCCTGAGGTGCAGCATAGGTGCTAGTGAGGCAGTGGAGGTGTCTTCCTTCTTCGTTTTACTATTATTGTCATGACTATGCGTTTTGCCCAGGTTACTGTGGTTGGTCGACGTCAACGCGGTTGCCATCGTTGTCACCACATTGGCCCCTGCAGCTCCTGCTTCTGTAGCGCCGACGTACCCGTCCTGTGAGGCGAGAGTCGGTACACCATTGAGCATGCCTGTTGTAGACACGGCGGCGGTGGCGGCCACCATTCGATTTTCCATGGCATCCATCACACGATCCATGTCATCAACAAGCACCGCGTGAAGCGACGAGGGTGTACCCTCGCAGTTCGCGTAAAGTTGAATCCGCTTCTGGTATAATTCCCACGACCAGTTGAGGCGATTGGCCCACCACATCACCGACTTGGGGGCCCTCGTAAAAAGCTCCTCCGTGCGTATTAGATACGGGCATGAAGCAAGGGCAACGCGAAACCAAAAACGCGAGGGAAACGCAAGAGGATGATCATCTAAACCCGGAGTAAACGGCATCGTGGCTCCGGTGTAGCGTACAATAACTGCCTTCTTGCCGGTTTCAGACATGCGCTTGGAAAGACGCTCTAACACGGCGGTTTTCCCACACGAATAACCCGCCTCTACAAAATGCACCGGCCTCGAAGTGGAGGGTGGGGTGGAGTGGCAGTTCAGCACAGAGCTGAGACGCTCTTCCACAAGTTTTGCCGTTCCAAAAAGCTGCTGCAACCCAAGTGATTCTGCTGCGTTAAACCCACTCCGAAACTCGTCAGCGCCCTTGAGAGTTTCAAACAGGGTCGTGCTTGCCACACGCATGGTGTGTCGCTTCAGGCGCCGCAATAGCGAGAAGTACTCGTTCTGTACCGCATCGCCTGTCCACACGGTGGAGGAGCCTGCAGGAGGGGGCTGCGGGTGCCCAGGCCACTCTCCAAGTTTGACGTTATAGTTGGCGGTTCCCGCTAAAAATACGCCGCATGTCAGCGTTGGTGCCGCTACATTCATGGACGAGGTGGGGGCAGTGCCTGAAAGCGGCGCATCCGCGCCGCCAGGTGTAGACATTTCTAAGTCGTGCCTCTCCAACTCATCCATCTCCTGCTCCCCGGTGCTGTGAAACACAAAATAACGTACAGGTACATTTCTTAACTGCAACACGGATACTGCCTGCCGTAATAGCCCAGGAATCCGTTCCAGCGCTAAGAATCCACAATCGCGTAACATGTGTAGCTCCTTTGGCATGTTATGGGCATGAGATTCCAACACCTTTAGTATGGCTTCATTAAGAGTGGCATATGCCTTCTCGCGAATCTCTGCTTCTGCCTGGCCATCAAGCACTGTTTTCCCGGCAGCATTCCCACCATAATCGGCATGCCACTGAGCCATGTATTCTTTTCGTACACTCGCCAACACTTTTCTTGCGAGTTGGTGGTAGTGCTCCAAGGTGCAGACGTGCCCTGGTCGCGTGTAAGAGGTGGTGACATCCATCGCGGCGATTGCAGCTTCCTCTGCGATGGTTTTACCTGAGTTTTCCGTATCTACCATGGTGTTTCCTAACCCTGTTGCTTGTCGTTGGGAGGCAGCTTGTTCTACGGTTACACAAAGCGTATCCAGAACAAACTTACTTACAGTGTCTGCTGCCCACGACACCAACGTCTCTGACAGCCGGTTGCTTGTGTTAACCACTTTGACTACTTCCTCCACGTATGCCTCAACACTTTTTTCTACTGCGGCGTCCAGTAGGCTGCGTGTGTAGGATGACACCTTCACAAGATCCGGCTGCTCAGCCCACTGGTACAACGTGGTCACCCCCGCCTGCCGAAGCGCCCTAATATCGTAATACGGCGATTCCAGCTCCAGACGTGCCACCTGTTTATAGTGGGCACTTTCAAGAAGCCACTCATGCCACTGCTTCTTCCCAGCAAGGGCTGCAAGCTGTCGCTTGGGTTGCATGGCCACAAAATCACTGAGAGAGACGTTTTCCACCCCATCCGCGGTGGGTTCTATAAGAAGTCGCACCACATCCGGCAACATTTCCCCAGCGAAGGAATCACTAACCTTCAAAATGTCGCCAATGCGAGTGTCCAGGTTTGGCTCTGCGAGCGCAGACATGCGACAGGCCGCGGTGGCACGTAGTGGGCCGCCTTTAGCCGCAGTCGTTTGCAGCCGTCCAGCAGACTCCGCGGTAACCCGCACTGAAGCGCCAGCGAGTAGCTCTGACGACTTACAGGGGTCCTTAAGAATGTCCTCCAAGTCTACAGGGTCTCTCATAAACGGTGGCGGCGCTGTCGTTGTCGCCGTGGCCGTGGGTGTGTGCGATGGCGTTGGGAGTGCGGCTGCAGCACTGAGGTTTACATGCGAAGGTGCGGTGTCACGAAGCCACGGCATCCGTGGCGCATGATTGCCAGGTGGGAGATACGAAAACCGCTGAACCCCCCCGGACTGCCGCGTGTGTCGCTTACTGGCTTTTACTGCCTGCAGCCCTGCTGGGGACAGCACTGGCAAAACGATACGACGCCGCAGCATGCGTGCTCTCTATGCTTAGTTTGTATGTATGGATGTGTGTGTAAAGTAAATAAACCCACGCACCTGCCTTTGCAGCGACTCCCAGATAAACCTTTTTGTTTGTATGGATGACAGTGAGGAGGGTCGGGAGCAAGAAAGAAAAGATACACCAGGCCGTGTCTCTCACGACATGCATGAACAGACATACACATATACACACAAACATGCATGTATGTGATGCGAATGAATTTATTTGTCGCTGGTCTCCTCTCGCAAGGAGATACATACATTACACGCATGCTGCGTGTCTCTTTGCTCGGTAATGATTTGCCTCGCTCACTCCCGCAAGGAACACAAAAATCAAAAATACAGCTTCAAATTGCCACGCTACTCACCACCACAAGCCCCCCAGACTGCTACTACTTACCTTCACGCATTCCTTGCCGCTCCTTCTTTAGATATGCGCCTTCACTGATGAATCCCATACAGGCAGTCAAGGACTTTAGTGCCCCCAGCCAGATCGTCCTCGTACACCTAAATCTTTGAGCGGGCGTACATTGCCATGACAAGGGCCATCAGCTTATCGAACTTGGCGTGCACGTCAACACCAAACTTCTTCTGGATATGTGCCCGCACTTTTGGATGCTCCAGCCACCTTTGAAATATGTCAATATCTCGCATGTAGCGGTTCACAAACTCGTGCGCCTTCTTGTAATCATGATTCTCCTCAAGGATCATGTGGGCGCCATGAAGGAGACCCTAATGCACAAAGCCGTTAAACTCCTGCTGCTGCTGCTGCATGTTTTCCATGCCCTCCCGCTGTGGCTCGAGAAGGTAATCCACCTGGTCCTCCACAAGCAGCGGATTTCCAAAGGCCTCCAGACGTCGCCTGTCCTCCTCCACCGCCTTCTGAACATCCAGCATCACCTGCCCGTCCACAAAGTCGTCGTCGTCAATCTCGTCGATGGCGGGGTCAAAGCTAGGGGGCAGGACACGGCAACGGGCCTCGTCGAAGACCTCATCGGCCATATGGATGTCGGGGTTTACAAAGAAGTTGTCCTCCGCGTAGCTCAACTCAAGTGGCTGTGTGGGGCTCTGCAACTCCTTAAGCTCCGGCACAAACATCCCATCAAGCTTCTTTTTGTTTTTGTCAAACGGGGAGGCAAACATGCGCTCCGACCAGTTTTGGTTTTCCTCGGTCCACCAGCGCCCCATTTCAGAAGAGGGGACGGCATCCAGCGGCTCCTCACCGTGTCGCTGAGCATCGGTGGCACGCTGCTCCGTTCTACGTCGCTGTTCCCCCGCATCCATCGCCTCCTGCCGCCGCCCGCTGTACTGCACCCCACCCGGCGTGGCCGCTGGCGACATCGGTGTGGGGGCATGGTGGCGGTGAGTTGCCCGTCATGAGACCACCTCTCCGCCTTCTAATCGTAATGACACTCCCAGCAACACTACTTCTGCCGCTGCTAGTGGTGTTGATGTTGGTAGTGTAACTGCCACGACTACTGACTCCCCACTGTAGGGGTTGCTGCCCATCATGCGACGTCGTGTGCAAAGGCAGAATTAACGTCGCTGCAGCCCGATAGCGCGCTGCGGCATAGCCGCAGCACGTACGATACGTTGAAAAGGCGTCATGAAATTCATTTATGTATGTACAGCCCTCCTGCAGCAAAATTGTATGCGCTATCAATTGTCAATGACACACTGAAATGTACTCCTTCTTCGGCCTGACACGGATGGTCACCAAGCAAAAACGCAAGAGGGAGAGAGACAAAAAAAAAAAAACATACAAAGAAGGAAGGGAGTCAAGGCATTAAAAGATGTCAGGAGGGCAGTGTAGCTTTATTAAACGCATGTCTTCCCCCATTCACCCGGCCGTAGGAATACTCGTGACAGGCTCAGTCAACACGACGTAAGCATCAACAAACGTGACACACAGGGAAACTGACAACAAACAGCACACACACACACAGATGTTTTTTAAAATATAAAACGCACAAAAACAGCAACAACAAAAAAAGCTTTTTATGCCAACCAACAGGAAAGCAGCGCACTACAAAGCCACGCCACCCCGTACCTGCAAATTGATAGGACGCGAAGTGGAGGTGGGGAGAAAAAAAGCGGAACAGGTGAGAGAGTAGGCAAATGTATATGTACATGCATTGATGTATCATTTTCGTTTCTACTTCTCTCTGCATGCACGTCCTGTTTTACTCCTCCTCGTGCCCTCCCGTTGCTCATGCCAGTCGCAGCAAACGTGTACTGGTGATGCCGTCCAATACCCCACTGCATCAAATGCTCATCACCACCGTCACGCAAAGTAGCAGCTAATACATGAAATGTATCACTTTGACGGGGTGTTCGTAGGCCCCGTGACGCTGTTAATCAAAAAGAAGGAACGACACCGCTCCGCCGTCCATCGCTCCTTCGGCTCGAGTGTCAGTAACCCGGCCATCACCTTCTGCAGAATACTCATTGGTTGGGAAGAGGCAGAGGGTGGCGGTTCCAGCACAACAGGCTGCCGCGCCGCCTCAATGTAGCAGTGCCGTGTGTGGTCATCCTCTGACACACACTTGGGGTTTTTGCAGGGTGGGTAAAGGCGCCGCGAGTAGATCAACTCATAGAGCGTGGCACCGAGGCTGTAGCAATCCGTTGCCCGACTACACGTTTTGTCCTCCAGCGCCCTAATATCCATGTACTCCAGCGTGCCAAAGACCCCCGTCACCTCGTCCATCACGCCTGGTCCAACGATGCGGCAGTTGCCAAAGTCGCTCAGGTAAAACTTGACGGAACCCGCCGTGGGGGCATTGGCCACACGCATAACCCCCGCAGAGGGCGGCGTCGAAAGCGAGGAAGGCGCACTGGCGGAAGTTCCCACGGTAGATGGCTCCCGTTGCTGTTGCCACTGCTGGGAGTGGTACTGCAGCTGAGAGGGGCTGTTCTCGTACGCAAACAGAATGTTGCTTGGCTTGAGGTCCAGGTGCACAAGCCCAAGCTGATGCATCGCGGAGAGCGCGGAGCTCACAGAGAAGGCGACTCCCTTCGTGATGCTATCGTGCCGCTCAATGTTCTCCAGGTCACCATCGCATAGTTCCGTCACCAAAAAGATCGTTGCGTCGCACTCCATGGCATCCTCCACAGATATCGACAAAAAACGGGGAAGGCGCACCTTCTCATACCGCATGCGTTCCGCCAACTGCGTTTCCGTCTCGCTGGGTTTTAGTTCCCCCTCCTCGCTCTGCATAAGCGGCTGCTGCCATTTCCTTGTCGGACGCCTCCGTAATCGTTTTCGTCGCTCGCACTCCTCCGCTTCCCTGGCAACACGCGCCTTCCACTCGACGGCGCCAACCACATCTGGTGGGAGCGCCTCACGCGCCGGCACAAAGAAGGCACTGTGAAGTGGAAGAATATACGGCACCTCGTGTTCGTTTAGGAACCGCATGATGGCGATTTCCCGCAACACGGAGAAACCGTCGTCAATACTTCCACGTGAGTGGAAACTGATGGGGCACGACTTTACCGCCACAAGGTCACCGTCCACGGTCTGGCAGCGCCAGACAATACCGAAGCTGCCCTCGCCAACGTACTCAGCTGTGATGAAGGCCTGCCAGAACTCCCCAGGGTCAAGACAATGAAGCCGCGATACCACGCTTTCTACGGTGTCATAAAAACATTTACGAGTGAAGCGCTTCTCGAAGAGTGGGCAAAGCCGCTCTACGGCACGCTTTGGCTCCACATCCACCTCCTCCTCTCCCACCATAGTCTTGTTGTTCTTGGTGGTGGTGGTGGTGGTGGGCTTCGCTGATGTCGCCATGGTTGGTGTGAGAGAGCTAAAGGACGCGTTGCTCCAATCCCCCGAGGCTTGACGACGCGACGAGAAGAGAAAGTCTCGCACACTGCGCACTGGGCTGCTCGCGTCACTCTGCAAGGAGGCAGTTAGGTTGGGCCCATCCGTAGGCGCGAGATGAGGCAAACGCAGCGTCCGGGCCGAACCATCGTCGACTACCTGCTCCATCTCTAGTGCGGCATCCAATGCATGATTGAGGTCCTCTCCCAACTCATCGAAGCCGCTGTTTTTGTTGTTCGTCTGGGTCTTTGCACAACCCGAGCTACTACTGTCACTATCATCATCGTCTATAATGTACGACTGGCTTGCATGATACGGAAGCGTGCCAAAGCTCACTTGTGTGGTCATGCTAACATCAAGATGTTTGTCCCATGTCTTTAACGGGTGGGAAGGCAAATTCTGTGAGGCACCATTGCCTGCGCCCTTGTAAGCCCCAACCTCATCATTTCCCTCCTCATCCTCGTCAGTGAAGTCATCATCGTAGATAAAGCACCCGTCCGGGAGTGGACTCAGCGTCCGTGGTGGGGGTTTGTTTGCCTGCAGTGGACCTTTGCGTGGACGAAACGTCGGTGGCAACACCCCGGCAATGGGCTCTCGTCGAGCTGGTAGTGGTGTTGCCGTTGCCGTTGCCGTTGTTGCTGTTGCTGTTGTTGTTGATGGGGAGGCGGCGGCGACGGCGGCGCTCCCTAAATAAGCCGCGGCAGAAGCAGAGACGGGCGGCAATGCACTGGCCTCGGGGTGTAAGGCGGGTTGCGCAGGGGACAACTGACAGGAGATGACTTTAATTTCCTCCTCCTCATCGTCGTCATCGTCGATGCAAATCCACAGTGTTGCCGGAGAGACAGCAGGGCGTGTCGCTGCCGCCTTTCGAATCAACGTCGTCGAAGGCCTCTCCGCCGGACTAAGAGCAATACTGGCCCGCTCACTCGTGGTATTGTTTTTATAATCGTCCGAGACATACAGGATGTGCTCCTGGCGGGGCGGTGAGTCCTGTGTGCCGTTTACTTTGCCGAGGGAGGAGAGTAGCGGGGTGGTGCGGAAATTTCCACTCAGTAAATGTTCAGGACTTGTCGTCCTTGCACGCCGTGGTGTGAGCAGCAGGGGCGGAGTTGACGTCCCCCTCAATGACAAACCCCCCCTGCTCCCTTCCCGCGTTTCTACCACCGCCGCAGCCGCCGCGTTTGGCGACGACGACGGCAACAAAAATGAAGACATGGCGGGCACCACCGGTGCAGACGCCCCTGCAAGTTCCTGCCGGGCGGGTGATGCAACCTGATATGCTTGCCGTCCCAACTGCTCAAGTGTAACATCCTCGTCTATGTCATCCCTCTCGTGGTCTATGCGCAAACGCTTCGTTTGCCTCCTGAAACCTGGCGCCTCCACAGCGGAAGTAGGACTCGCTCTTGCCGCTTGAGCAAATGACCCAATACCGTGTTGCACAGATGAGGTGTATGTGGCCACACGTCGTGCCACGGGGGATGGCGCCGTTCGTGCCATTTTAGTTCTTGCAGCCTGCGAAGCGCCTGCCCGGTCCCCACTATGCCTCTGCAACTGCTTCCTCTTTGGCGGCATGTATCCCGGTGTGTATCGTCCGCAGTGCCGTCCCCCGTTTGCAGGGCTAATGCTTCAATAGTGATGATAGTCGTCGTGTCGGTAATAATGCACGCGGTGACTGAAGCTCCTTGCCGACACAGCGACCCGCCAGCTGGATGCCTCGCCGCACCCCACCCCACCCGTTTACTTGTATTTTGTTGGCAACAAAAATACAGTCACAGGCGCCACAGTGACTTCTTCCACCCCCTTGGTCTCTCTCTCTCTCTCTCTCTCTCAATGTGTGTGTCTGCGGATGTCTGTAATGCACACACGTACACGTTGCAGGTTCTACAAAAACAAACGTATGGCGCGTGCTTCTTCTTTATTGTTGTTGCTGTGCGTTTGGCGTGAATTGTGCGACACAGTGCGCTCTGCACTCTCCCGCTTCCTCTCTCCTCGCGTCTCACGAGAGGGCGGGCTATGACAGCGTCACTCCTGCCCTCAAGTAGAAAAAAGGCTCAAAACAGAGGGAAACACACGTCAAACGCACGGGAAGGGGACGAACAACACACAGAGCACAAAAAAAAAAACAACAACAAACAAACAAGCAAAGGATAAAAAGAGTGCCAGATCATTAAAGGTGTCTACTACCCCCGCCAGTTTCCACCGCATGGAGGCGTGAAAGCACCCCATCCCTCATGCTGAGTTACATGTCGTCAAACTGCTTCAGCAGCCAATTGAGTTCCGCACAACTCAACCCGGCACGCGCGGCCTCGTCAAGGGCCGCCACGTGAGCGCTCATGTGAGCCGCAAGAGCATCGCCCCCACTGCAGCCGCAGCAGCACTCTTTCCACGGGTAGACGCAGCTGTAAACAACTTCTAGCGGAAGTTCAAACACGTGCGGCACGGAGAGACGCTGAAGCGCCCACATGGCCTTTAGTGACAACTCACGTGTCCCCGTCTCGCTTGTCAGGCATCCGTGCTGGAATAACATCCCCAATTCCTCCGTCACGGAGGTGCAGAAAACACCACGGTCGTCAGTGTGAAAGGATACATTTGGGATAGCAGTCGCTGCGCCACCCAACGCAGGCAATTGCCCCCATCTAGCCAAACGCCGCTGCACCCGACACTGCATGGCCGCCGCAAGGCTAGACTCGGTTGTAAGGGCCTGGAGTAATTCGGGGTTCATCCCATCACACTCCGCTTCCCCCTTGTGGTCCTGCTGCTGTTGGAGAATATCCCCAATGTGGTGCCTTTCCACCTCCGCGTAACCTCCTGTCACGGTGTTGCTGGTGATGCACAACTCAATGGCATCGTGTCGTGCGATAATGGCGGCCCGGTTCGTGGGATCGGTGTAGACCAGATGCCCCCAGCGATCCGGGGCAAACTTCACCATCGCGGCCAACTCACCCGGGTCGTCCTTCTCGGCCGCATGCAGAGTGATCCCAAGTGATGCGTAGGAGGGAAAGGAGAAAGATGTTGACGACGATGCACCGGCGTTGCCACGCCGTGCCTCCATAAGCGCCGGGATAAAGTCCGCAAAGTGGTTCTTGACGCAGTGGCCGGAGAAGTCCACACCTGTCACCCAGCACGTTCGCCGAATCACTTCCCCATACTGTGACATCGTCTGTTGTCGCGTGCTTTGAGAGATGGCAATGTCTGCATGCAGAAACGCGAAAAAACGCAGCAGTTGCTCCTTTTGAATCGCCTTCGCAAGCGTCACAGCCTCCCATGCCGCCTCCGCGTCGTGGCCGCGGTTAATGGACACAATGAGGCGAACATGCATGCGATGCATTAGCTGCTCACGAAGCCTGTCCAACAATTTTTCCGCCTGCGCCGGGTTGGCATCGTGCGTTACCCGTGTTGTGTCTGCCTCCGCGCCATGCTCAAAAGGGTCATCCATCGCGTTGGAGGCAAGCGAGCCGTACAACTTCCGGAAGTATAACCACCATGTCGGGGAAACGGGTGCACCAGCAGGCAGCAATGCACCAGTTTCAAAATCCACCAGACCACCGTGCATGAGGTGCTCCACGGTGTGAATTACGGTCTCGACGTACGCCTTCTTTGTGACACGCTCCGCCTCAATCCTGTGCGCCGCGGCGTGTGGGGTCGCGTATAGGCCCTGCCGCAAAGAAGTTCGTATCTCGAGGATAAACATGTTTTCCGCCGCGGAGTGTAGCAGCAAATCCTGCACCACCATCCGTGTGAAGGCGATGTTGGTCATGACCTTGTAAATGTTATCAAAGACCTGGAAGCAGTAGCTCATGCGCTCGTTGGGGTCGGTGAATTGCCCCAGAGCCCTGCCCACCTGCCCAACACGTTCAAAAACCAAATCCACCACCTCGTTCCTCGACGCCGCGTGACTGGTGGTGTGACTCTGTCCTTGCAGCAGACACTCCATGTGAAGCAGCAGGGGAGGGCTAATGCTGCCGTTCAGATGACAGTGCAAGTCCAGCTTCGGCAGGAAACGCAGCGGTGCGGCCTCACCTGAGTGGCGGCCGCAATGCCTTGCCCAGACATGCTCAAATGTCTCCGGACTGCTGCAGTTCCCAGCGTGAGCGGCGAGAGACACGTCGCAAGGGGTGGCCATGGATGCAGCGGTGGCAAACCAAGAAAATAAATAAAAGAAAAAAATAAACGATAAAAACAAACAAAAAAGGGGGAATAAATTAGACCCGTGAGAATGTCTATTACCGTCTATAAATGCCACACAATGAGAATTCTCTTGTACTTACCGTTTTTTTTTCTTCTTTACTCTCCCTATGTAATGTGTACCTGCCGGCCCTTTCCGGTGGCATAAACAAAAAAAAAAGGATAAAAATATAAGAAAGACACAAGAGGGCATATGACGCGTTGTCAGCGGCAGCTGACGCCCCACACAACGAGGAGCGCTGCTGCGTGGCGGTGCCACAACGCCCAATGCGGAAAGGACGGAGCCGGGTTTAATACGCACGTTTAAAATATCCTCCTCCGCATACACACACACACACACACACACACACACACACACATCTTTTCCACACAAAAATGGCAAATAACAAAGTGGAAGCCCCGCACGCAGCGCACACCCACAGAGGCAGAGAGGCAGAGAGGAGTTGAGGGGAAGCTCACATACGCGAGTACGACAGCAAACGAGGCGGCGCACATAAACCGAATACGCAGAGGAAGACGATAAAAATGATAGTCATTGCAGCCAAAGTAAACAAAGGAGGAAATACAAACCGTTTGAAGCATCCGCACAAAGAGGGAAGAAACGATATGGCTGGGCATTACACGTTTCGTTTCCGCACCTCCTCTTCCCTTCCCTTTTCACTCGTGTTTTTTTTTTTTTTCAAATTACCACTTCTCAAGCTTCCCCTACTTTTTATTCC